CAAAACCTTATTGTCTTTTCCAGCAAGCTTTTGATTTTTTTCCTTCTGGTAATACCCTTTCTCCTATTTCTATGTATCACAGTGATACATAATAGGGATAATCAATGTCCTTCTGAAGGAAAGAAATGCACAGATACTAAAAGGAAAAGATGACCATGGTGTATTCATTCATTTATAAATCCATTCATCCATTCAATAACTTCTAATAAGACCTGATATATACAGTGGTGGCAAAGTTCCTCTTTTCAAGGAGCTTGTATGCTAGAGTGCCAATATATTTAATACAAGCAGAAGAAAAATGTAAATAGTCGAGTCAGAACATCTTTGTGTGCAAATTAGGTCTATTACTATATGTGTGTGTATTTCCTTCCAGATATATCTTCAGGGGGTCGTACTGGAGAAGTAACCGAAGAGAAGGTTTGTTTTAACTGTATTTACTTGCCTTTATTATTCATTAATACAATTGATCCAGGCTCTATTCTGGGTGCTTGAGATACACTAGTGAACAAAGTAGGCAAACATTCATGGCGCTTGGAGATCATATTTTAGCAAGAAAATTCAGATAGTAAACATAATAAACTAGGACCTTATGTAGTCTATTAGCAGGTGATAATGACTATGGAAAAACAGAAGAAAGAAATTGCAAGTATGGCATGTGAAGTAGGCAGCTCTGGGTTGAACTTTTAAATAGGTTAGTAAGGGTAGTAAGGGTAGTCTTCACTGAGCAAGTAACATTTTAGCCAAAAGTTAAAGTGGAGGGTTGTTCTGGCAAGGGGAGGGGAGCAAGTATTGTAAACAGAAGGAAGAACAAATGCAAAGATTTCAGTGGGAGCAAACCTGGCACTTTCCAGGAACGGCAAGGAGCTGTGGACAGAGGAGCCTGGAACAAAATAGGTAAAAGGTGAGAAAAGAGAGCAGGGAAGTCTAGGAGGATTTGAGGGAGGGTGCCGTGCAGAGGAAGGCCCATTAGGCAAATAAGAGAATTTTTTGAGAGACAATTTAGGAAACATTGGAAGGTTTTTGAGGAGAATAGTAAAATTATTTGACATATATTGAAATGAACCATTGGAAGGGACTCTGTTAGAATAGACTGAAGGGAGGGAAGTGAAGCAGGCAGACTGGCTGGGTGGGCATTGTAGTAATCAGAAGAAGATGATGGTGCTGGTGGTAGCCATAGACTTGCTACAAGTGGTCAGATTAGAAGGTACAGTCAACAGAATTTCATGATAGATCTAATGTGGGATTAGCAAGCTCAAGGATTCTTCCATGGCCTGAACTGTGAAAGAGATAGAGCTGCCATCAACTCAAGACTACAGTGGTAGGGTGAGGAGGGAGCAGTGGAGATCAGAAGTTCAATTTAGAATCTGTTAGATTTGAGATGTCATTTTGATAATCAATTGAAGATATTGGTAGGCAATGAGGTTCGGGAATCTGGAATTTCAGGAGAGATTTCTAGGCTGGAAATCAGGACTCTGGGAGTCCTGAGCATGGATGGATTGATGTGTATGGGGGTGGGGAGGGATAGAAATTTGAATAGATCTCTTTGGAAAGTCAGAACATGATTTTCCTGCCAAAGATGTTTACCTTTTCCTAACTTGGAATACTTTAACACAAGTTACCCAGGGTTAACTACCATGTGGGTTCCCTCTTCTCCATTCCTCCTGGTTCTCCCTGGTTGAGACGCTCCTGCCTCCCCAGCTACCAAATCAATGTGACTTAACCACACCTGTAATCATGCAGTGACTGCTCAAGGACATGCCACCTGCTGAACCACCTGCCATCACCAGCCCAGCCCAGTCTACCTTCCCCTTCACCGAGCCATGCCCTTTGCACTATTCCTATGGGTTCTTGCCTCAGAGCATTGAGCAAAGTGGCTTATCCACCAGGAACACTTCTCCTCTGCTCCCCTGATTGCCTCTCAACCAGGCCCAATTTTCTAGACAGGAAATGAACAATGCCTACTTACCTTATATGACTGCCCCCATCTGAACAGAAGCTTTGATCCCCTATTCTATAGCACAGGGAAGAATATGGCATGGGTCACATTTCCCAAAGTGAGGGCAGCAGGGCAGATGTCAGCCCCAAAAGAAATGTTGGGGATAAAGAGTTCCATGAACAAACAGGGTCAGGCATACACCACTCCTCTGCCTTCCCTCAGAAATATGCTTTATCAAGTCACAAATTGAATGCTCTCAGAAGTCTTTTGGTAAGAAAGAATACACAACTCAGAACTTTGTTTAATCCATATTTTACAAATGAATTGACTTCAGAGCCCCTTTCTCACAGAATACCCATTACCGTCTGTGGAACTGATATTGCAAGGTTCTCTACTTGGAGTTGGAGACCTGAATTCTAATCCCAAGGAAGCACCTCTCAGTGCTGGTTTTCTCCAAGCCTGGGCCAAATAAAGCAACTGTATAGCCTAACAGGGGAGGTGTCATTGTACGCAGGCCCAAGAAGGGAAATCATACATCCCAACTTCTATAGGGCAACCAAACACCCGAAGTCTGGAGCTTCCTAGACTGGAGTTTACTATCACAGCCAAGAAGGTTTTGACAAATATGTCTCTCTGGTTTCTAAAGATTACATGACTCACTTCCCCACAAAGACTTAAGGCCGCATGGGTTATGATGCTAATTACTAGCTGAGTGACTGTGACTAAGTCACCTCTCTTCATGGACCTCAGCCAACTATTCTCTCGAACGAGGGGGCTAGTGCAGATGGTGTCTAGCATTCCATCCAACCATCATGATTGGCCACATGTCCTTCTTTGAACTTTACCTATGTCCACACATGCCCACTCTCCTTCCTATCCCTTAAAGGTGATCTCTTTCCATATTATTTGTATTAATTTTTTTCTATCCATCAGGGCATAGCACAGGACCTTAAACATGCTTAGAGTTCCAATAAATACATGTTATAGAAATATTTAAAGATGGCCGAGGCATTTAAGCACCCTCAAAATTTCAAAATTAGGCCATGATCTGGTCAAAGCAGTGAACAGTGTAGAGAAAAATTCTACATCACTTTCTGGCACTACCACTAGCAAACTAGCCCTGTCAATAAGAGCTCCCATTGGATGTTTCCTGTGTGTGAAGTGCAGTTGTCCATGGCTCACGTTTGAATCCTCACATCCACCCTGTCTAGTGCTCTATTATTATCCCCACTTTACAGATGAGAAAATTGGAGTCACAGAGGTGCTAAGTAACTTGCCTCAAATCCCCAGGTTGGCAAGTGATGTCTTCAGACCCCAGCAGGCTAACTTTACAGCCCATGCATAATCACTGTGCTAACCTGCCCTTCTCCCTCTCACCAGCTTGTGCTCCTGTGAGCATCCCAACCACCCCAGGTTAATACCCAGGTGGAAACTGAGGACCAGAAAGGCTTAAAGATTTTTGAGTGTCCCACAACTGTAGTCAGACCACAGGTCTCTCTCCACAATACAAACTGACTTAGCAGTCTACCTCGCTACCATAAACTTTTGGGATGCCCCCAACAGACAACTCTGAGTAGCTAATGCTGATGCAGAGACTGTTGTGCTGGAGACGAAGAATCAAAAATTGAAAATGAGGGCCTCTCTGGTGGTGCAAGGGGTTAAGACACAGCAATTCATGAAGCTATCCACAGCCACTGCAGCATGAGTTCAATTCCCGGCCAGGGAGCTGACCCACATGGCGCAGCAGACCTCTCCTAACTCGCCCGCTGCTCCCCTCAGCAGTGTATTTCATTATCTCTACCTGTTCTGTTCCCCACTCTGTCTCTGGTGAATCCTCTCACCCCCACATCTCTGGCCTGTACCCCAGTTCTTATATGCATAAGTAAATAAATCTTTTTTAAAAATTGAAAATGAATTGAATGGAAGAGTCAAATTTGGGGAATACAATGAAGCAAGAAGTGACCACTCTGGCAACCACAGGAAGAGAAGACACAAAGGCATGAGAATCCTAGATAGGTGACAGGATGGACAGGAAGATCCCAGCAGGAGTTTAGGAAGGACAGAGAAGAGTTTCAAAAAGGCAGAAAAATCACATAATTTGTAATTGCAGGCATTTTCGACACTAATCATAAATTATAGAAAAATACACATTCCACAGCCAGAGAGTATAGTTTGACCTTGGGAGATTTAACTGAAGCAGCCAACACTCATGAGAATCAGCTATGGCATGTGGCACATAATAGGCACTCAATAAATGTTTGTTCCAAATAAAAGAGACAAAAGAAAGGAAAATCGGAGAATTGCTTTCATAAAGAGAAAGGCACCTAAGGGAGTAGGTGCTCAATAAATATTATTTTTTATCTGTGTACCATGAGAAGCCTGGGGAGTTGTAAAAGATTATCTGATATATTTCCAAAGAGCCCTTAGCTTCTGATTTCAATTCTCAAAAATTCCCTAGGGAAGCTGTGGAATCCCTCATGGGGGACTTTTAGAACACATTCTTAGCAGAGCCATGTGGAGGGAGTGGTTTAGATGATTTTAAAACAGATGAATTGAGGTAGCGAGGCTAGACCAAAGGACCGGCAGTCGTTTTCACTTCTAATTTCCAAGGAATCCCCTCTGAAGCATGTCTCTGTCTGTGGGGAGATAACCGATGGACAAGCCAGCATTGCCATCCCACCAACTGAGGATGGCTGAGTGATTTGGACACCTTCCAAGAGGCCCTGGCTAAAATGTAGGCCATTTATTTCATGATGAAATAAGCCCCAGAGAGCCCCCATCAAACATGTACGCAGAAAGCAGGACAAAATGCGGAGGAGATTATCTGTTCAGAATTTGCTTTAAAAGAGCCCAGGCAGCACTCATTTATTTTTGAGAAAATATATGATTAACCATAGTTAACTATGAATTCAGATGTTGTGCATTAGACCAGCTCCTCAAAGTTTGAGAGCATTTAATATTATATATCGCTGCCATTTGGACTAAATTGTTTTTTTAATGTACACAATATTACAAATTTAATTTGAGCTGTTTGAATCAGTCTGTAAAAAAAATTTGATTATACCTGAGTGTTCTGGCCCCAGCTTTTCCGTATCTCAGTAATCTTGGCGGTAATTGGCTGATTAGGCGTCTCACACTCTATCTTTGCCTCAGTTTCCATGGTAATGTTACAGGAGCTATTATAGATGAGAACTTCATCTCTTTCCACTTTAGGGCTGAAACGAGAGGGGAGGTTAAATGGGGTGTCATCAATCTTAATGAAATGCAATTATTTTTACTCTTATTAATCATTGCAAGCCATTAGCTTGTGGCAACTACAGGCCACCATTTGTCAAATTTTGCAAATTTCTGTAATTTTGTTTCCATTCTTTTATTGTTTATTTGTTTTCCCTTTATCTGCACACCCTGCAATGAAAATGTACATGGTAAATATCTTTCACTGAGGCTTCTCTTTTCCAAATCTATTAGGAACATTAGCAAACGCGTCTCCATGCCCAACTTAACAAGCCATGCGCAGACAATATTTCCAGTTCCAAAAATGGAAGCAAATATGGGGAGAGGTCTTTTTTTTTTTCTTTTCCCTTTCCCTCTTCCTGTTCTTACTCACACTTAGTGTTGGGGGAGTGAATTCCCTGGATCCCCCCAGGGCAGATGGAGAAATTGGAAAACCCACACAACTGGCTAACTGGTCCCTAATTCCAACTGTGAAAAAATGAGCTCATTTAGGCTTTCAATTCCCTCTCCCCAGCTGATGGCAATGAGGCTCTGTTGCTAGCAGTGGAACATTAACTTAGTAAATTAATTAAACTTACTTAACAGCCCAGACTAAGGAGATTCGATATATGTGCCAGTTATACTACCAGCCACTCGCTTTAAAAGTCCTCTTGCTTTAAGGGGAGAAGCCAGACTGGATTTAAAATGAAAAACAGCAGTGTAGCATTACAGAAAGGCTAAAAATATGCAATGGAGAGGAGGTGAGAGTGTGGAATATTGCTGGGTATTGTCCCCAACAGGTGTGATATTTATTCAAGAATAATCCTGGCTTTAGGCATTGTTGCAACTAACTCAAAGATTATTAGTAATAATAATGCAGGATATCTTATACTTTCCAACAGTTTCATATGTATGATCTCATTTCACCTGTAAATTAGGTAGAGGCATGAAAAATGTAACCCAAAGAGGTCAGGGGATTTGCATTATAAGAGACACATTCAAAGTGGCAACTCCCAGACTAGAACCCAGGTGCCCTGTCTCCTAGAGCAATGCGCTCACATTTTAAGATGCTGATCAAACATCAGCCATGAAAAGTAGCAGGTCCATGGGAAGACCAGAAAGGATGGTAGAATGGGCAAAGGGCCACTGCTTCAGAAGCTATAAATTATAAGCCACTACAACATCTTTTTTAAAATCAATGTCAAAATGGCTTCTCCAATAATTTGCTAGAAATACTGAGCAGGGTAACTATCTCCTCTGACTACTTCATGTTAAAATATTTCCTGCTCCACATCTACCCGACATGGGACTTCCATATCCATTCTCCTCTAGACCTACTATGTGGAGATTGTCAGTACTTTAACATCATGCCACCCAGCACTAAAGGCACAGAATTTGGGGTGATCCCTTTACTGAGCCCTATATCCATGGCACCTAATACAGTGTGTGTTCTGTAGCCCCCATGCATAAGTTAAGATGGTGGAGAACTTCAAGTCTCAGAATCAGATTTCCCCATCTGAGTTTGGTATACTGACTTTGAGAAACAGGCCAGTTAGATTGGATCCCCCAAGCAGATATTTACCATCTTTATAACATTGTGAGGACATGAGTCTCAAGTTTTGGTTACCATATTTATAAAATGGAGTTACCAATTCATCAAGTACCTATTTGATGGAGTTGTTTAGTGAATGGAGGGAAATGAAGTCTACAAAACATTTTACACAGATCCTAGTACACAAGTATCCAAAAAAGAAAATTCTTGTTATAAATTTTTGAGATCGTGGTGTTGGTGGTACTACTGTTAAAATGTAAAAGTGAGGATGTGCATTCATTACCATTAATGTCTTGTCACTGCTGTGGACCATTTGTTCAAATACATTTTGAATATGGAGATTGGGATGGAGCCACAAACCCACTTAGCTGAGCCACCAACCAGGGAGTTGACAAAACCATAGGATAAATACAGCATTTGCTCTGGAGCGTCAGTTGTACTCAAAGATTCAAAAAGAGAACAGCAAAGTAATTTAACTTTTAAATGAAAATACAATATTTAGGGAAACATGGAAATGCAATGGGATAGGATGTCACATGCACAAGGGGTTTTCAAATAAAACATCTAACTTTAAAGCAACAGCGTCAGACCACATTGGATTTTGCAAATTTGGGGGGTAGGGGTTCGGTAATAGCTGAAGATGCTATCTCTATATTTCCGTCATAAATTGCTTATAAATCCATAAGAAAGGAAATGAGGCTCACTTACCCCACCATCATAGTTCTTGTGACTCAGACCCCAAAGAGTTATTTCCATTTCTGTAGGCTACCAACCATCTGATTAATAATTCATTCTAGAATTTGGTCAGACTTAGTTTTCTAAGTGTCTAGCATTCCCCCTTTTCCCTTTTATAGGCAAGTGGGAGAATATGTACCCATCACTTCCCTCTGCTGTGCACTCCCTCCTCACATTCATCACCTTGAAGGCTCCTTATCCTAGCAGCAAAGCTTTACACTCGGTCAATCAATGGGTGACGTGGGATATAGGAGGAAAGGATGCCAGCAATTCCTTTACAATTTTTCTTAGGCCTGGGCTCCAAACTTCCTAAGGAGCCCTCTGCCCTGTCTCGACTCCTCACCAACGAAGTATAAAATGGGGGGAGTTTCTCTGCCCACCTTCTGTTTGCACTGTCTTCCCTCATCCTATTCCCTTGTTCTGAAAGAGTTAAAACACTTTGTTAGCTTAGATGTTTTTTTCAGGCTTTAGTTCATATTTCTTTTGGTGGTTGTCCCTGATTATCTCAGTGGAGATTTTTTTCATTAAAAAGCCATCATCAAAATTACCAGAGACACCAGGATTCAAGAATAGACTAACATTTACAGAATTTCAAAGTTTCCTAATAGCTGTTATTCCTTGTATTCTTCCACAACAATCCTATGAATTAAGTAGTACAAGTGGCCAGATTTATTAAATGTAAATACATAAATGTAAATATACCTATCTATAAAGAGATAGATACAAATAATATAAATGAGCACATAGGCACACAAATTTTTATTTTGAGGAAATGTGCTAAAAATTTTTGGTCCAAACGGTAGCAAAGACAGCTCTGGAACCTAAGATTCCTGATTCTCAACCTATTGCTCTTCCTGTTGGTCTCATCATATCCAAAAGCAAGCAGATAATTCTATATGCACTACCTAGGGCAGGCAATTAAATTACTGCAGGCATTTGCTCCCCACCCTTAGCTTGGAATTGTTTCTCATGGCCCTGCAATCTTATTTAACCTGCATAGCTCAGTCAAGGCTTTCATGGCTGATACAGGCAGCATGACATTGTGCAAAGTCCAGTGTGAGTAAGTCAGAAGTCCACCCGACCATATCATGACTTCATGATGTCACTTTGGAAAGTTACTAATCTACACTTAGAATAGAATCCAAACATCTTCAAGACTTTACATACCTCCCTAAGCTCATCTAAAGCCATATTCCTTCCTTCTTACTTTATTCCTGCCCCACTGGCCTCTGCATTTCATAAAACTTGATGGGTCCTTTGCATTTTCTCACTCTCCATAACTACAACTTCTTCCTGTTATCTCAGCATGTAAGATAATTCTGCAGAGAAACCTTCCCTAAGCACCTTGTCTAAAGTGTCCCCACAAAATTCCTGAACCCTATCACACTATGAGATTGACTTGTTAATTTCCTGGCTTCTTCTTCTACCCTCAAGGGCACAGACTTCACTTTTTTTTTAACCATGGAGTCACCAACTACTGGCAAAGTAGCTAGAACACAGTAGGTATTTGACAAGTATCAGATGAACAGATGGTAGGATGCATGGATGGAGAGGTGGACAAATTGGGCATATTTTTACCACTTATATACATATCTACCTTTGCAAGTGACATAAATTCCATAGTGGTAGGAGCTGTCAGGAGGATAAGCATTTCATAGAAATGGGTTCTTTGTAAATATCCTGCAAAGTAGTTTTCTGGATTCATGAGCACAATGTTATAAATAACTAAGGTAAGTAATTCAGCATATGATGTCCTTTAATATCCCTCATAGAATTTATAGTGTATTTTTCTATTTATTAAATTATTATGTATTCACTAAAAACATACATGAATATTTGATGAAGAAAAGTGATTAGTACCCTGGCCACCAAAGACAGGCACTATTAACGCTTAAAAAAATCTACACACAGAGCCTCCCTGATGGCACAGGGGTTAAAGACAGTGCTATCAAGCTATTGCCAGCCACTGTAGCACAAGCTCGATCCCAGGCCAGGGAGCTGACCAACATGGCACAGCAGCAGACATCTTCTGCCTTGCCTGCTGCTCCCCTCAGCAGAAAATTTCATTAGATCTTCCTGCTCTGCTCCCCCACTCTGTCTCTGGTGAATCCTCTCACCACCCGCACCTCTGGCTCACACCCCAGTTCTTGCATGCATAAATAAATAAATCTTTGAAAAAAAAAGTCTATACACATATATATTATATACAACCAGGATTTCATTCACATGCTGTTTCGTGTCCTTCACTGCCCAATATATTATAAAAATCTCCTTCTTTGGTTAAATATTCTATCATGATTTTTAAAGTCTCCTCAATATGATATTATTTGTTACATTCATTATTACTAAACACTGATTTCAAATATTATGTTATTACATCTAAAATATTAAATCTGTTTTTAATAAATGTTACATATTTCTAACTGCTTAATATAAAACACTAGCAATAAAACTGCTCGATCACAAAGTGTGCAGAATTAGAAGATTACTAGTGCATATTGCCAATTGTCCTCTAAAGACTGCACTAATTTCCTTCACACAAGAACAGTTCTGATTCCCCCCTACCCTAATCAACACTAACTATAAACTTTGTTTAAATCTCAGGGCATTTTTATTTTAATTCTTATTCAAGAAATCACATGTACTTTTCCTAATGCAATATTCTAAATATTGCAATTTTGGATAGCAATTTTGAGATGCTCTTAACAGATAAGAACCTAACTTTTTAAGGGGTCTGAGACTTGGTAGCTTCAGTTACCTTCTGGAGTGAAGGACACCGGAGAACTCCGAAGGGAAAGTTACAGAGATCTAGATAAAGTCCTGCATTTCATAGAGTCTTAAATTGGAAATTTCCAGAGTCCCACACCAGTGATTCTGAAACCTAGTCTCACCTGAGTACAACCAATTTCTATGCCATCAAAGTGGGGTTTGGCATGCCCTTCTAGAAAGCAAGCATCCAAGGATGCTCTGGCTGCCTCTGGTAGCAAATTCATACTCAAGCAAGGACATCAAAAAGGCAGACAAAAGATGAAAAAAGCTGCTTATCACTTTCATTCTGGGTAATTAGTTTTGTTTAGTTTATTTTTCAGTGGGAAAATAGGCCTTCATTAAGTAATCAGATGTAGCCATTCTATCTGGATAAGAAATACAGAATGATTAGCCCCGAAATATCACACTGATCAGAAAATAGCTGCTTGCAGAAATTAAGGCCATCCAAGTCATCAACATGGTCACACTTTTTTTTTATTTGTTTACAGAAGGAGGTCTTACCTGCAACATTGTGGTATTTATTTGCTTGCTTTTTAAGTTCAAAAAAGCCCTTATAAGCTTATGGCTTCTAAGTCCTAGATCTACAGTAATTCCGCATGTGCATCCCCCCACCCGCTTTTGAATAAACATTGTACAATCTGCTGGATTTCTCTATGACTTTTTTTCATACTTGTGTATCTGTTTGGAAAGAAAAGAAAAAGGAAAGGGGAAAAGAGCCTTCTGTTTTTCATAATGTCTAATCTTTTTCCCCATTGGCATTCACCAGATGTTGCTTTGGATCGGAAGATAAATATTAAAATCTAAGCAAGAACAAAGCGAGCTGTTTACTGGGCAGATTTTTCAGATGTTCTCTTGAACACTTGAAAAGACAGGAGATGCTTTGATATGCAGGCTGGCTGGAATCCACAATGGAATTGTCCCTCCAACAAGAGCTGTGGACCCCAGGGCCACATCCACAGAGACTGCAGTGGCTGGGGCTTGGTAAGCCCACTGGTCAGGCACAGGTGGGGAAGGTTAGGGAGGGAGAGGAGTCATTACCTGATGAAGAGTCCTGAGAATGTTGCAAAGTCTGACTTTAGCCAATGATTGGGTGCAGAGAGACATCGGGAACTTTCTTCACAAATGTAGAAGTAAGGCCGTGATTCAGGCAGTGTGTCTGTCCCTATAGTGACAGTCAAGTCACACTGCACATAGGTGTGGCTCGAGGCTTCACAGCTCTCCTCATTGTACGTCAGGTCACACAGGAAAGCCAAGGACACTACAGGAAATGCTCACATTAGGTCAATAATAACCACAGAAAGGATAGAAGTCATCAGATTTTTACATGAATAAAATTCATACGTTGTCCCTTGACGAATAGGAAAGTCAAGCTATCTGTTTACTTTTTAAAAATGTATTATATATACAGAACACATAAAGAATATATGTAACATCCTTGAAAATATAAATGATCATGTTTAGAAAAACTAACATGAATCTAGCAGCCAACATAAGGTCTGAAATAGTTGTGTGCCTAGAATCACATCCATCCACTTCCTCCTCATTCTCAGAAACAATCACTGGTATTTTTTAAATACTTTTCCTAAATTATTCCTAAACAAGAGATTTTTGTGTTTTACCTTGTTTTTGACTCATATAGATTAGATGACATAATATTCTTAGACTTGCTTTTTTTCTCAAATTATATTTCCAAGATTAATCCATATTATCTCATGTAAAAGTTGTTCATATATTGGGCCTCCCCAGTGGCGCAGCGGTTGAGCGCTGGGCTGCCAAGCTGCCCGCAGCCTCTGCAGCACCGGTTGTATCCCCAGCCACCCTGCGAGGGTCGCACATGGCACGCAGACCTCTCCTGCCACCCGCTGCTCCCCTCAGCAGTGTCCTTCGTCAGTCTGCCTGTTCTGCTCCCCGCTCTGGCTCTGGTGAATTCTCTCACCCTCCCGCGCTTTTGACTGTACCCAGTGCTTGCATAAATAAATAAATAAATCTTAAAAAAAAAAAGTTGTTCATATATTTTCACTGCTGTTCTACATTGCACTATGCGAAAGTACGATATTTATTTTCTTTTCATTGAATTTTGAGTATTTCCAAGTTTTTGCTGTAAAATTTCTCTAAGGGATGTCTTAAAGAAAATTGTTCTTCATAGGGTAAGTACAAGTTAAAATTTACAAGATATTGCTATATTGTTTTCACAGTGATTGTGCCATTTAATATTCTCATTAGCCATTGTTACGAGTCTCCTTTACTCCACATAACTGTCAACATTTGGCATAATCATACTTTTTAATTTTGTCCAGTGCAGTGTGTGTATATAATAGGATTTCATTGTGGCCTTCAGTTGCATTTTCATTATTGCTTTCTATGTTGAGGAATTTTTTATTAATATTTTTAGTAGCAACTCATGTCTCTTCTTATGTGAAATTCATATTTATGTTATTTGACCTTTTTCTACTGAAATGCTTGGGGTTTTTTCTCATATTGATTTGTGTTCTTTATATATTCTGGTACTAATCCTATAGAGGTCATAGATAAATTACCATATTAAAATCTCCCTATGGTTTTTGATAACCCTGAGGTTATTAATACCTTCTCCAGATTTGTGGGTAGACTTTTCATTCTCTATATGGATTCTCTTGATTAACAGAAAGAAGTTCTTTATTTTCATATACCTATGACTATTAACATTTCACAAGAAAAAAAGCAATTATTTGAAGCCCCTGACCCTTAGGCCATTTCTTTCTGGGCCGTGAGACATAATATAAAAAGGCACCAACAAGGCAGATTGAAAATAACCTTTAACAGGAAGATAAACAATCCTCTATGTGAGACAGGTTCAGAGCAGCTCTGTCTGAAAACTTTAATAAAGTGAAGAAAAACAAAATTTCTCTCTAGCCTTCTATTTCTGCAGCTAGCCTGTCCATGCAGATATGCTACAAACGATATCAAGACTTTGAACCTAAGCTGCTCTGCCTAAAATACTGTGCTACATGCAGCCAGGGGAAAGGAGAAAAGCACGTGAGAAGATTTGTAGTTATTCAGAAACACACAGATATTATTATTGCTGCTATCACATTCCACAGCACCTGACACATTGTGGGTTCTCTACACGGAATTCTGGAATTCCAGTGAATTATAGCAATTAACTGAATGATAGTAGGTCTGTCATAAAGACAGAGAAAACATGACAACTTTTAGGTTAATAAACCCTACAGCAAATAAAAACAGGCTAACACCTATAAAATAATGAACTCATTATGGGTGATTAGGTAAATGCAGATTGACAAAGTAGATTATGAAAACACCCAGGGCTGGGGGTCGGAATCCATGATTTTATTCTGCCAGTAAATAGCTGTGTGACCTTAATCACTTTTTCATGCCTCATGGAAGTGTTAAAATTTCCATGAAAGTCATGTGGTATAATTCAAGGTATAAATGCAAGAAACCCAAAGACCAAACATCTTGCTGACTTTAACAAACACAATGTATTAGTTTCACCCATCATATAAAAAAGTAAATTTCTTCTTTTGTTAAAAGTACATTTAAAGGGAAAGCAGAGATCTATGACATTAAAGCAGCTACAGAACTTTTTTGAGCTCCACCTCTAACTCCCCATCCCACTGAGGAAAAGAAAACACAGAGTGCTGAGGCATCAGCACAAGCAAAACAATAATTAGGAAAGTTTGAGTTCTCAGCCATCATCTACAACCTGGAATGTGAAACATTGCTCTCTTTATTGTGCAAAGTCAAACTATGGAATAAAACTCAAAGCAAGAGTCAGAATTCAAAGTGACCTTGGTAAATGAGAGAAGTTAACAGAAATAAACAAAAGACCAAATGAAAATAGGAAGGCAGTAAAACCGCAGAAGAAAAAAAAAATCCTATAAATGTAAGGAAAATCCAGCTGTGCAAAGCCATGTTAGAAATATTTTAAAAATAAAATAAAAGCAGCCTGGAATAATAATAGGTAAGAGATAGATTATAAACCAGCAGAACAGTGTAGTTTTAAAATCCAGTATGAGACCAGATTATAAATTGACATCTTGGGGCACTGCACAATCTGGCCATGATTTGCTTTCACAGAGAAGCTACCTAGCTTGGGACTTCAGTTTACAAATGTGGGAATTCAGAGGGCTCAGAAGAGAAATACCAAAATGTTTACTTGTTGGAAACTTTCCTATTTAGTAGGCCCCAAGAATTTGCATTTCTAACAAACTCCTGGGTGATACTGTTTCCACTGCTCCTGTAACAACAACAAAAATACTATATTTTCAATTAATCTCGACCCTAATTCTCAACAATGCTATCAGTGAAAACCACTGCATTAAAAAGACTGAGATTATTCAGCTTTACAAAAGGGTTGTCAACTGATCAACGCTGAAAAAAATTAGAGTGAGGGAGTGTCGTGAAGTAAAAGAATGGATTTTCTTGGAAATGACAACTGAAACACTGGAAAGAGTTGCTACAGTGAAATTGTCCTCTAAAAAATCTCTTAAAACATAACAGATTCTTAACTGAATTGGCTATATGCAATTCTAACTGGAAATAGGGAAACTAATAGTGGTTTCTTATAATATGTAAGACTCAGTCCCTTTGACCATTTGGTGTCCACTTTAAATCTTCTTCCTAGAAAAAGAAACACACAATCATGTACTCAAAATATTTTTTCCAGTTCAGGGGGTTGATAAAATCCCTAAATCCCACCCTGGATCTTAAAGAAACAACTGAAATTGAATTTCACCAGTTCCTCTCCCTCTTCAGACACTGTAATTAAAAGTCTTTTAAAGGACTTATTTTTATGAAAGAGGAAAATCAGTCAAATTACCCATTTCCCTAGAGTAAATGAATGGCTCCTGTGCAATCAATGAGTGTTTGGTGACACCTAATGGCAATGATAAGAGTTACAAATTCCAACCCATGTTTTCCTCTTTAAAGAGTAATACTGAGAAGTCCTTTGCTAATCAAGTCTCTAGGAATATAATAATTTCTGCCATTCTTCTCTTATGGGGTATGAAGCTTGAAACACCACAATTTAACTGACCCTGAAATCTTAATGACTTTCTTTTTACTTCTAGGTGAAATTAACTGTCTTGAAACAACACGAAGAAGCTTTTAGTAGGTAGTTAATTTAAGCATATAATGCACATGTATATATGTAAAAGCCTTTAAAAAAAAAAAACCCTGTAGACGGGTCTCCCTGGTGGTACAAGGAGTTAAGTCTCAGCACTATGAAGTTATCCACAGCCTCTGCAGTACAAGTTGGATCCCCAGCTGGCCAGGGAGCTACCCACATGGAGCAACAGACCTCTCCTGACTCACCCGCTGCTCCCCTCACCAGGTGTATTTCAGTAGATCTGCTATTCTGCTCTCCACTCTGTCTCTGGAGAATCCTCTCACCTCCCACACCAATGGCCTGCACCCCAGTTCTTGTATGCATAAATAAATAAATCTTTAAAAAAAAAAAAACCTGTAGACCGTAGACCTAGAAATGGGGAGTCTTGGTTTTCTTTTTCCACTATTTCCCAATTCCTTCATTTATTCTTTCATCAAACATTAATTTTGCACATACCCTGTGCCAGCACTGAGCTACATACAGGAGAGAGTGAAGGATGAAAAAATGTCTTAAACCTAAATCTTCTACAGTACCTTAAATTTCCTATTATTAATCTTCCAGAAGGATGGTAATATGAAACTTGATTTCTAGTATTTTAAACAACAATAGTTTCCCCTCCTCCTCCCCCACTACCTCCTTCTTCTCCTATATTGTATTTTCTAGGACAATGCAATATGAAGTGCCATCATAACAGTATTATCCATCATAGAATTTATGTCCAAGCTCAAATGAAGTGATGCTTTTATCACTTTATAAATACTTCTCCCACATTCAAGTTGCAGATATAAATTTAAAATGTAACTTATAGCACTAAGCAGAAGGCATGTGAAATGGTTTCTAAAGTCCACAGGTACAAGATCTATGCTTATTGAAGCAGAATAACACCTGGACAAGCTGGGCCTCTAATAATAATGATAATTTCTTACCTTTGACTTTATTTTTATGAAACTCAATGAGTAATTATCACATATTGTAAAGCCGCATCTATAGGAATACCAAAGCTTTGCACTTTCCTACCCAACACCTCTCCACCCCACAAAGACATGGCTTCCTATATCATGATTTACATGGTAGCTACAAAGTTTAATGCAGTGAAAAATGGGGGTGCTTTACTGGGTAAAGGATCTGGTAATTGCCCCAATATTACAGAATAAGAGGGTAGTGTTAATGTTGCCTCTTTTGCCCATAGTAAGGATTAAAGAACTGTGCACCAATAAGAAAGACCAATATGCAAAAGATATCCAGCTTGATGATCTAATCCTTTCATTTGCACTTCCAGCAAGCAGAAGTTTCTAGCAGCTTCACCTCACAACAAGACCAAGAATTGCTTTCTCCATGATGCCTAAGCTGTCATTAAAACTACTATTCAAAACTCAAAAATTATTTTCTCAGGCCTCCCCAGTGGCGCAGCGGTTGAGCACTGGGTTGCGAAGCTCCCCGCGGCCTCTGTGGCGCTGGTTCGATCCCCGGCTGCTCCCAGGCCACCGGAGGAGGGTCCCGCATGGCGCGCAGACCTCTCCTGCTGCCCGCTGCTCCCCTCAGCAGTGTACTTCGGTCCTTCTGCCTGCTCTGCTCCCCGCTCTGGCTCTGGTGAATTCTCTCACCCTCCCGCGCTTCTGACTGTACCCAGTGCATGTATAAACAAACAAACAAATAAATAAATAAAATACGTGCCTCTTTAAAAAAAAATTGTTAAAAAAAAAAAATTCTTTTCTCCAGCATCATATGATTGCAGTGAAGAGGATGGGTGATACATTTTTCATTGTTCATTTAACATAGACCCATTAACGTAACAAGTTATTAGGCAACATATTAATGAGGTGGTCCCAGATTCTAAATACCATTCTAAGTGAGGAGTAAAGCATGCCTACTCCAGGAACACAGGAAAATCAGGGGTCAGCATGCACTACAAAGATGAAGTTAGCCAAACAATATAATTTTTACATATAAGCTGCTTTAAAAATACGGCATTTTTACTGACCATCCAGAGGCAGGGCCAAGCAGCTGAAGGCTGACACTGTCGTGTTGGCCAGGACTTGGCAGGGCATACCACACACAGCAGCTGAGATGTTCCCTGGAGAAAATCCTGCTCCAAACACATGCACAAGGCTTCCATCCAGACAGCCTTTAAAAAAAAAAAGATAAGTTCATGTTCGTAGAGGCAAATCTCTCTTAACACAAAATTCAAATCTATGCTTCCTTGCTGCCCATCATTCCTTTTATGCTGTCCAGAGTCCACACAAATGGCTTTAGGTCCCTGATATTCTCACTTTGCTCTCACTAAGTTCTGACCTCTAGAGCATGGAGTTCTTGTTCTATCGGATCCCAAATCAACAATCTATCAAAGAAAATGTATTAATTTCTATGAAGAAAATTAATGCTTATTTATACTTCTTAAATTGTTTATTCAAGAGTATAAAATGAAAGTAAAAGATCCCCTATCCACCTGTCTCCCTCCTCAGAGGTAGCCAGGTATAAATTTTCTTTGTAATCCTTCTGGAATTTTCTAGACATAAAGAAAGAAATCATTCTGTATGTATTATTCAACAACTTGTTTTCTTAATTAAAGGACTAGCATGGGCATTTTTCCAAGTCTATCTATCAGCCTGGCTCATCATTTTAATAGCTACAGGTTTCCCCTGCTATCAGGGAACAGCATTACTATGAGACCTTTCCTAAGCCATAAGGACATAAAGCAGATAAGTAATTTTCTTTAATGTGTATGGAAAAATTTTGAGTGTTCCCAGACTCAAAAAATAACCAACCAAGTTAAACTAAATAACACATAAAACCTAAAGTAACATATAGTAAAGCAGGAGTAATAAGATATACACATGGCCTGAATAAAGGATCTCCCCGGAAGGGAGTTGGTAGGGCCACTCTCGCTGCTCTTGGGGTGCTATCTGTAGAGAGGCTGCTACAAAACAAATGCTGAACTCTATTTTTTATTTTTGCTTTACACCTTTTGTTGCAAAAGCAAAAATTCTCTTCGGATCTCTCTTTGTTAGTGAAAACAGGTTTTTCATAAAAAGCAAAGTGAACTATAAAAAGTCAGGGAATGCCTGTCCTTAGCCTTCCCTTGTGTGACTATGCCATCATTTATTAAGCAATTTTCCTATTAGTTGATACTTCCATTATTTCTTTTCCTGTTATAATTAATGGTGCTGAATGAACTATTCATTTATACAAATAAAAATGTTACAAATTCTTAGATGGAATTTCTATGTCAAAGGAAAAATAAATCATTAGCTTTAATGGATATTGCTAAACTTCTCTCTAAAACACTATCATACCTGTTTACTTAGCATATCAGAGTGTCTGTCTCTGATGAGTAAATGCTAACAATTCTTAACAGACACATTTTGTTTGAGCCTGAGAACCAATGAAGGGATATATCACCAGAAATCTCATACATATAGAAACCCTAGTGCACACTGAGATGTAGAGTTTCTGAATCTACAGCCTTCATGTCAGCTCTAAGTTGTGGATCCACAGCCACCTGACAAACTCAAGAATAGAGTAAGTACATTTCATACATCTGCTCTCTCACCATAAAACTCATGGACTCTTAGTAGCTAGGGAAACTAGCAAGCATCCAGTCCACAACCAAGGGTAAGATAACTTAACCAGCTAAGTTGCTGCAGAGTCAGGATAAAGATGCCAATCCCGTTAAAATTTCACCCAACCAAGACAGGAAAAAATTGTCTAAGAAATGTTTTGCTTGGTACTTCATCAGTCTAAGTGTCTGCCACCATCATTTCCTCTACTTTTTTGTATATCAATCAGATTTAAGTCATCTCAAGTTCAGTAAGACTTGAAGTAAACAAAACCAGAAACTGTCATTGGAAGAAAAGGCAAGGTGAATTTGCCTTTACATATAAGAGGAGAAAAAATTTCAGTTTATGTAACTGGATTATTATTGGTGGAGTATGAATTCTGTGATATTTACAAAGCAATAGCAATTAATCATATATATTAAATTTAAAATAATTCAAATTGGCATGTAATTCTAAAAGTTAATGGCATTACATTCTAGTTAAATAATCAAATTATGAGCTCTTACATTTAATGTTATTATTTAAAATACAAATTAAATCAAATTGATGCATCGAATTTAAATATAGTCAAACACTTAGAGAATATGAATGATTCCCTTGATAAAAAACAAAGCTTCATAACTAAAACATGACAAAAACAAGTTTAAGAAAGAAACTGGAACTGGAAGAGGCCAACCAGACTTCTCTCTTTCTGAGGTTCAGGTTGATCTTAATTTCCTACTTCTCAGAGTGGTGAGAGTGGCAATTCATTTACATAAAGAAACATTTGGGGCCTCCCTGGTGGCGCAGGCAGTTGAGCAGAGCGCTGTGAACCTGTCTACAGCCTCTGCAGTGCGGGTTCAATCCCCAGCCAGCCAAGGAGCTACCCACATGGCACGGCAGACCTCTCCTGCCTCACCCGCTGCTCCCCTCAGCAGTCCATCTGCCTGTTCTGTTCCCCGCTCTGCCTCTGGTGAATCCTCTCACCCTCCCACATATCTGGCCTGTACCCCAGCTCTTGTATGCATGAATAAATAAATCTTTAAAAAAAAAAAAAGGAAAGAAACATTTGACTTACCAAAGTTCTCAGTTACTTCTGTAATAGCAACTCTGGAAGTGAACACCAGAACAGAAGAGGCCCACCCTCTTATGCGGTCGTAACCCCTAAGTTGGTAGTCTCCTGCAGGCAGGGACGGGGCTGCACATTGGAGAAGGGTGTGATTGCCAGAGACACCCACACATGGTGACACCCCTAAGAAAATGTCAACGTTTGCAGCTCCTGAGATATGGGCCACCACAAAGGTTAAGATTTCAGCAGTCTGAGAAACAGAGAGCAATTCTGGAGTGAAGGTTTCGCTATAATCAATAACACCCATCTGGTGTGAAAGTCCATCGATCTCTATGACCAGCGCAGCGGACCCATTTCCTGCAGGAACAACACAGTGGATGAGCTCGGAGCTGATATCCACTAACGGGCAGACCTGCTGGCCAATGTACACCAAAGTGGTGTTCTGTCCTCTCAGGGCTGTGCCCTCCATGGTCAAGAGGCTTCCACCATGTATGCTGAAATTCTTGGGGAAATAATGAAATACTTGAGGCAAAATGTAGAAGTGTCTGGAAACATTACCAAAACAAGCGTACCCATTTCGTGTATGAAAAGCTGATAGGTAATGGAGTCCTGCAGTCAAGTCCTTTATCCAGCAGTCCACGTGACTTGCATTAACAAAAGTTACAATGCAAGGAAGATGACCATCCACAAACACCACTGGCTCATCAGCTGTGCTGCCTAACTGCTGACCCCTAATCAACACCGTGGTCAGAGACCCACTGATGTTCACGATCACAGTGTCCACAATGGGAGTAACCTCTTCCTGCAAGAAAACTGTGCAATTCCCCTGACACTCACTGGTTAGTCCATTGACCAGGACAGTGACATTCAGACTGAAGGAGGCGCCAGGCAAGGGGTCACCTACCAGGTTAATCTGGCAAAGGATTGTCTGGTCCCCCATTCTCAAAATGTTGCAAGTAAAAGGACCTGAAAGGTCGACTTGTACTGACTTCGTCCTTGAGTTGAGCACCAAACCCCTCACCATGAGCTCTGTCCCACCACAGGTAGACCCATGTGCTGGGAAGACGCCTGTTATCCGAGGAATCATCACAAACTGCTGGGACACTGCAGACATATTAGTGAACCCCATCTGCCTCTGCCGTACTTGGAGGGGATGGATGCCTGCCTCCAAACTGTGAAGTGGAAAGGAACACCCACGCCGGCTCACACTGCTCCTGAAAGACTGTGTCTCGAGATCACAGCTCAAGTCCCCAAGAAGGATCACCGAGTTGGAAAGGTTCCTTCCTTCCACATAGAGCCTCAGGCTGCTATTCTCGATTTCTCCTCTCACAGCAGTGACCACTGGGGTTGTCGCTTCTTCATATGTGAAGGTAAAGCCCTTCCCCACCAGGCTTGGTAAAAGTCCTCGGGGGAAGGACACATTGCCAGCCCAGACCTCCACAGGGGCTGGGACAGCGACAGCATCCAGGTCAAGAAACCCGGGCACTGGTGAGGTCTCACACCAGATGTTGGTCTCCGTCAGGTTCACGATGTCACAGGACTGATTGCCCACACGGACTGAAATCCAATCTGGATCCCTGCCGAACCCTATTCCGGAGATACTGAGGATGGTTCCACCTAAAGCATGGATATTGAAAACAAAAGCTAAATTCAGAAATAGGAACTCATAGCACCAGGGTAAGCCCCAGTACAATTAAGTGGAGGATGGGGTAAGTTTTAGTGAAACCTCAATCATCACCTTTCCCCATCACTGTTATATTTGTGATCTTTCAGCAGTAGTCAGGCTGGCTGAAATTCACACAAAGTAAGCAACATAAATTGTTATATAGGAAGGATGATTACAATAATGAAGACAAAATTTTGAAATATATTTATAGATCCTAGAAGCCACCACTTTAATCAACTTAAGCTTTATATAAAAAAAAAATCAAATTCCTGGAAATGGTTCTGTCATCTGCTGATATCTGCTATATCATCTAACATTTAGGTCATTTGTATTATTCTATGTAGTATTGTGTAGAGAAAGTTTATGTTTTTTACGTGTAACATACATTCATGAAAAATCAAATATATATGTGTGTGTGTATGTATATATATGCTTGGGTGTGTGTGTGTGTGTAATAACACCAAGAGTCATTGAAACATTGAAAGATGTTTGTGATTCAGACTTACTCTCTAGCTGAGGAACAATTAAGTTCCATTTTTCAGGACAACAATTGAAACAACATTCCCCATATCATGACTAAATACGGTAGGTATAGCCAAGCAGCTTTAAAAAGGATTTTACTATACGTAGAAAGTATAATGTGCTATTTTATATACCATCACAGAAATTTTTCACATGCAAATCTAGAGCTTTCCATTTTTTTTCTGAAAAATGAATAGTTCTCTAGATTTCTCTTTGTCTTGTCCTTACATGTCCCATATTGGTATTTGTGCTTCAAATTACATCTGAGTCCTTCATCCGCATCCTTAGAAAAAAGTGAAGACACCAAAGACTTCCTTCTCACCTTGCACGGGCAGTATCTAAAAAGTTAAAAGCAAGAAACTCTTCCCGGGTTTTGCTGGTATGCCCCGATATGTGCTATCCAGAAGATGTTTAGAAAGAGAAAGACACAGGGGCCTTCCTGGTGGCGCAAGGGGTTAAGACACAACCTATGAAGCCGTCCGCAGCCTCTGCAGCATGAGTTCGATCCCCTGCCGGGGAGCTACACACATGGCACAGCAGACCTCTCCGAACTCGCCCGCTGCTCCCCTCAGCACTATATTTCAGTCAGTCTGCCTGTTCTGTTCCCTGCTCTTTCTCTGGTGAATCCTCTCACCCCCCACACCTCTGGTCTGTACCCCAGTTCTTGTATGCATAAATAAATAAATCTTTTAAAAATAAAAAAAGAAAGACACACATTTCCTTTTCCCAAAATTTTTTTTTTAATTTTCTAAACTTACTGGGTTAAGGAATCACAAAGTTTTCACACCCTTCAAAGGAGCATACTCAGTGCCCAAGCACGAGGAAAATCCTCTGCCTGCTGCCCATATTTGGCCTCACCAGTTAGTTACTCCAGGAACAAAGTCTGAACTTCCAGCCAATAGACTCGCAAGATAAAAGATCCAGTATCACAGAGCACTCACCCAGCAGGGACCCGCAGCACGGCTCAATGCTGAAAACTTCTGTGATGTACTGGATATGAAGATCAACCCTACAAAAAAGGGGGCTTTTGTTACCAAACACCTGAAGCAGAGAAAGGGAAAGAAAGGAAAAGGCAGAAGAGACAGATGACAGTTGACAGTTGACCAACCCAGGTACATGGGTTTGAACTGCATGGGTCCTCCCTCACTTGGATTTTCTTGTAAACAACATAAACTTAGGGTGTTAAAAAATACAGTGGGGTACTATAAATGTATTTTCTCTTTCAGGACTTTCTTAATAACATTGTCTTTTCTCTAACTTATTTTAATGAGAATACAGTATATGCTAAGTACAACATGCATGTAATACATATAAATATGTTACGCAACCATTTATGTTATTGGTAAGGCTTCTGGTCAACAGTTAGTAGTTAAGTTTGGAGGGGAGTCAAAATTATATGCAAATTATATACAGGAAATATAAGCAAATTTTTTGGCTATTCGTACACCTAACTCCCATGAAATAGGAACTCATGACCATGATGTTGAATGGTCAGCTGTATTTGAGGGAGAAGAAAGGGAGCTGTGATGACAGAGAGTACTAACAGATAAGAAAAAAAAATAGTGGCGACATGATCTTGTGTCTGACATTTTCCTGGGCTGTAATCATAAACATGGCTTGTACAATGATTTTAAGTTATTTGTTCAAATGCCAGACACAACTGTGCAATCTCTTACTAAAGCACAGATGGAAGCCCACCCCCGCTCAACCCCAACCAAGAACCTTAACACCTTAGTTCTAGAAAGTTCTCCCTTCCCCAACTAGTAAGCCAAAAATTTCCTGAGACTCAATTTTCTTGGAGGGGCTGTAAGATTTGTTCAACGGTTATGATATGCATATGTTTATCCCTTAACTTTAAAGAAGAAAATATAAAGCAAAACCTAACTTAAAACTAGAATTCCTCAACTGAATTACTAGACCTAAAATAGTGACAAGTGTCTACTCACCCTTGTGAGTGAATGCTGACCCCATTGATGGAAACTGAGATTCCATGGAGACCAGCTGGCAGCGGGGGCAGCACCACCACCAAGCCCTGAGCCGTCTGGGCCTGAACGTAAGCCACGGTGTCCCGGATATGGACTTCCACACCCAAATCTGTGTAGTTCAGCAGCATCATTCCAATGAAAAGAGTCTCACCTCCTATATTGAAAAGAATCCATTAGCCTTGGGGATGTGGTTGTATGGTTCAACCACCTATTCAATTCTAAACTGTCTTTAGGATTAAAAGCTTGATCAGCCCTGTGCATAATAGTCTAATTTGAAGAGTTATAATACCAACCTAATTTTTTTTTCATGAAACTTCTAACAACTCTTTTAATAAGGTGACACAGCATAACTTCAAGGGCATAAAAATAAAAACTTTCAGGACAATTGTGCTCAAGAGACACTAAACTTTTCTTCATTCAAAGGCAAATCAAGAAGCTAACAGGAAGGTTGATGGTCTTCATAGCCAGCAAACAGCACTGCTTATTTAATCTTTGTTTTCTACTGATAGAAGTTAAAGCTATATTCTCCGTGTGCACTATAATAATGCTGTATGTGAATATAGTACCTCACATTCTAAAGAGCAATTTCAGGTATGTCATCCCATTTGAAATCCAGACTGTCCCGATGACATATACAAGGCACTGAGTAGGATCAATATTTTGCTTTTAGAGGGCCTCCCCGGTGGCGCAGCGGTTGAGCGCTGGGTTGCGAAGCTGCCCGCGGCCTCTGTGGCGCCAGTTCGATCCCCGGCTGCTCCCCGGCCACAGGAGGAGGGTCCCACATGGCGCGCAGACCTCTCCTGCCGCCCGCTGCTCCCCTCAGCAGTGTACTTTGGTCCTTCTGCCTGTTCTGCTCCCCGCTCTGGCTCTGGTGAATTCTCTCACCCTCCCGCGCTTCTGACTGTGCCCAGTGCTTGTATAAATAAATAAATAAATAAATAAATAAATAAATAAATAAATCTTAAAAAAAAAAAAAAAAAATATTTTGCTTTTAGGAAAGTCAGGATCAGCAACCAGCTAATGAATAAGGACTTCAAGGCCTGAGTGCAGTCTTCTTATATTTCAATAACTTGTAAGTTTAATTAGCAACTCTACTTAAATGTTGTATATACTAAGGACTCTCTAATTCAGTTCCTTTTACATCAATTATTTACTGATTTCCATGAGGAATATGCCACAGGGGCACAAAAATAAGTTAAACACAAACCCTGCCCTCAAAGAGACCTCAAAGTTAATAAAATAGGTGTCAAAAATAGCTTCAGTACAAGATATAATATAAAAGAAGTAAAAGTAGAATTGTTAAAATTAGAAAAACATTCTGAATATCATGAAAGCCTTATGGGCAAGAAGGTGTTTTGAAATTCAGAAGATAACCACCAAGTGAAAGAGAAGAGGGGAATTTCTCATTTTATTACCCAGGGACTTGGAGAGGTGGAAAGGGAACTGGGTGACTTTCTGGAAGACCAGGTACATAAGTCCACACTCTGTGGGGACCAAGTGGACTGTGGTTCTGCAGCTGAAGACTAAAAAAGCCAATCCTGACAGGTCTTTACTTAATTCGGTGGACCGAGAGTAAAGGTCATCAAGGTTTCTAAACAAGGAAAAGATCTGATTGAGGCAATTCTTTCAGTCTATAAGAGCAAGTGGAGAGATAGGGGAGGAGAAATCCAGTCTGATTTCTAATCTAGTCATAATAAGAGCTGAACATCAAGGAGTAAAAGTAAATATATTTAACTGATCTGTGTCTCAGTGTGCTCGCAGAAACACAGCTTGGATTAAAGCATTTCTAAGGCTCCTTTCCATGTTAACATATGAGAATTACTAGAGTTAGCATCTACAGAACACCATAGTTAATGAGACGCAGAGGAGAAAGGTGAAAGAAGAGGGATAGAAATCTATTGAAAAGACTCAATCTATTAAAATCTTTTCTCTGCCATTTATGCCCTGAGTGATTTGGGTGACTCACTTGGGACTCTCAAAACTTGTATTTTCCACCACATATGCTCTATTGTAGGGGTTATTAGATATACTAGGACAGTCTTTGGTATAGAAGAGCACTCAAAGAGCTACATTAACTTCATTTTCTCCCGTGTTTTACATCTTCTTTTAGTTCATATCCTCCCAAGCTCATTTCTACCGGGAAGTCAGAAGCCTCAGTGTAGAGTTCAAGGCATGCTAGGGTTGAGCAAAGGAGAAGACATGTCCACAAGATGGCAGTAGCGCAGCAGAAGCTTTATACGGGTGGTGCTTTGCAGGTCAGCATAGGGGGAAGTCTAGTATAAAACTGTCCAGAGGCAATAATAGGAAACCACCACCCAGAAGAAAGACTAGGGTATCCTGTGGAAGGGGAGGGTCAGAGAGGCAGCTTCTGAGTCTAGATGATGTCACACAGCAGCCCAGTGGGTAGCTTCTGTGTCAGAGTTTCTAAGGATACCAGTAGTAACGTCTTTTCTAGCCCCCAGGCTAGCAGATGTTAGGTGCAGTTTTGCAGGACATACAAACAGGCAGCTCTAAAAGGCTAAAAATCTGCTTGTTTGGGCTATATTTAAACCAGGTGTGTAAAAATTTGAGTTTGGTTTTGGCAGGCTTTTGAGCTCATGGGTCTGGGCCTGCTGTGAAGTAAACAACATAGGGTGATGTCGGCTTTGACTCATTTGTCTAACACTCAGTAACTGTCAGCATTCTCTTCAACTAAGCATTTATTGAGTGCTTACTTCATTTAGTTTCTGAGACAGACACTTTTACCTACTTTAGCTCCAATTTTTACAGTAACAGTGAAAAAAATGAACCCCATGTAAAAATAGGACTAACAGAAAAAAAGTTAAATCTTGCCCAAGAAATGGCTGAGTTAGGGGTCTTCCTGATGCAATACTATCTGAAAAAACATACTGGTGGTCCTGTACATGAATTTATTCCTGCCCCTGCTTGGCCCTTCCTCCTCCCTTTCTTCACTTTCATCTTGGCTTCATTGTCAACATCAACATCATCATCTCCTGGATGGAGATGTGTAGCTTGTCAACTTTCAAAAGAAACTTTCCCAATAGACTACCACTGTGTGGATTTTATAGCATGTTCTTCTTTATTCTGCCTGTAGAAAGATTTAAATGCAAGTGTAAATTCTGCAAATAATGCATCATGTTGTATATATCAATAACATGAAGTCCTTGGGCTCTTGGTCAATTGTCAAGCTAATCTTAGATGCCTTAAAGGCACTGATGCAATGTATTTATTCTTTTCATTATAGGTACGAAATTTTATTAAAAGCCAAAATCACTGAAATCTGAATAGAACATGGAGCTCCCTCCTCCCTTTTCTACTTCGTTGGGAAGGATCTATACCACTGAGGAATTTTACACACTTTGGTTGCCTGAGGCAGCAAATTCTTCTTCTGCACTATCTGAGCTGAATAATATTGAGAAGCTAAAGGACACTTCCCTTTATTTATGTACTCTTGAGCAATAGAAAATGAAAATAATACTAGAAAATTTGAGTCTAGGCTTTTTCTTTGGGAAATTTGATGGTCTTTTATAATAAAATCTTAAATATGGTTGCCATAATCTCTCTGTCATCTGGCTTCAATTAATCAGAAAGGTGTGTTACCTAGTATACTCTTCTAAATCTATCTGATAGGATATGATAATAAATTCCTGTAATTCCATCCTGTCATAATATCTGAATTATCAAATAAAAAGTATCTCATGTAGTTGGAAGTTAAAGAATGTTTCCTTTTTTATATTTTATGTCTCAAGAAAGAAGAACTTTTGATTAATTAGAGCATCTTGTTCTCCAATCATATGAAATAACTGCTAAAGTGAAAAATGATGCCTAAATTGGCATTTTACAATAAACTTTTAAGTAGCTAGGTACTTGGAATCTGAACCAGACTGCTTGAGTTCAAATCCCAGCTCTGTTATTTACTGAATGCAGCATCTTAGACAAATTACTTGTTCTATTCCTTCACTTCCTTACCAATAAACTGAGGATAATAATCCAACAAATTAGTCTATTATGCTGGTGGTATTATTTATACATAGCAGCTGCTCAATAGATATTTATTGAATTGTTGCCTTTGAATCTCTCATCATTTTCACAATGGAAAAGGCCCTAATTTTACAGAGAAAAAGAGATATAAGGGCATTTATTCAGTATCCTGATTTTCAGAAAAAAACTTCCACCCAACTGCAATAATATTTTCAATAAAATTAATAACCCACTGTTTGCCTTTTAATAGGATCAATGGCCTAAAAATAAAATGATCTCGCAGTGTCATATATTTTACCTGCTATGTTGCTTCTGTTTCTGCTCAGAGACACGATCACTGGATTTAGCGAGGAGACATATGTGAAAGCCATGGGGAGAACGGCAGAATGGTCCCCACTGACCATAGTCACATTGACAATTTGTCCATCTTTTCCCTGAAAATTTAATTTTTTTAAAATGAAATCTCTGTAAATAAGACTGATTTGAGAGCAGTCTATATAGAATGTTTTAAAAATTAAATTCAAGAAAATTATTTTTAAAGGGCATATTGGCTATTTTTAAGTGTCTGTATGTCTCATACAGACAAGAAGAGAGAGAGAGAAAGAAAAAAAATGTGCTTAGATTAGGTAAATGCAGCATCCAACAAATACAGAGGGACCTACTTCAAATAGTAAATAAGAATGATTTACAATTAACACACTGATTTGTTCTACAAAACAATGGTATTTGCAACTAAACATCTATACCTAGCTAAACTATCTATCAAGTCTGAGAATACCATCAGGTATAAAAGTATTTAGAAAACTTTCCTCTAAAATATTAATCCTTAATAATAATAATGAAATGTCTCTTGAAGTTATGATCTTATAAAGCAAACAATAGCTGTGGGGGAGGAAGATATAAATGCCAAGAGTAATAAAACTACTTGGGAGAGCAATCAAAGGAAATACTAGAATCAAATCTATACAATAAATCTAGAAAATAATAATTTCAATTGAAACAAGGGAACAAAGAGCTTCAAGGAAAAAGAGTAAATGATATAATGGAATTCGTTTAAAGACAGAGGCTTTTATTATAGGAAAGACATATTTAAAAAATATTGAAATTTCAGGGAAAATGTTAAACTACAAAAGAAAAAAATAAGTTCCCTGATTCTTCCAGTATCATTTAAATAGTTATAATAATGTAAAGATTGTTTATTGTTTTAACAAAATAACTATATTCAAAAGAATTTAACATGCTTGCTTCAGAAAGGGGAACATGAAGAAGGGGAAAGTGGGGTAGGAGAGGATGATTGTTTTTACCATTTCCTTTTAAAATTTTTTATGTATAAATAGTATTACATCAAAATTTAAATTTTGCATTTTAATGTTCTCTCTAGTAAAAGAAATCCTAACAGTACAAATTTTACCCATTAAAATAGTAAGTATGTATTACTGTGACAATATCTAGTATTGGACAAAGCTCTGGAAGTCAAACACTCACCCGGTAATAGTGGGAATATAAATTTTAAATACAAATTTAAAATAAAATTGAGCATGACATATCAAAAGTTTTAGTATTTAGATTAATTTATCCTGAGAAAAATAAACATACCCCCAAAAATAGTTATTGGGATGATCAAAGCTCTTTTGTTTAAAATAGGAAATGTTGGTATCTAATTGTGTCCAAAAAATAGGGAATAGTTAAACAAATTATAATACAACCATAAATTGCAATTGCATACAATTTATATACAAAAGCTAATATTTCATAATATTTTAGCAATTGGATAACATAAAAATGTGGGACCAGACCTCAAAGATTATTCTGAACCCTCTCTTTCAAAAATCTTTATTTGTTCAGCAGACAGACATCTTTTCAGGTGATAGATGTTCTGGGAATGTTGATAACTCTAAAGTTAGCTCTAAATCGAGAGCTCAACAGCAGCTGTGAGCCTGGCTCTCAACGACAGCACCAGGGAAGGGCCTGCACTCAAATCTCTTAATAGGTTATGAGATCACACTAACTGAAAAGGAAAGGGAGAACTCAGGAACTTGTTTTTAAGAGAAAAGGGAAGCAGTAAGGAGTAATTAGGAAGATATTTCATAGAAACCAACATCGTAGAAGTTTCTAAGTTCTACATTTATATCCATGCCAGAAAACAAAATTGCTGTTGAAAACTAATATATTTGCTCTTTGCTAAAGGGAAAAGTGAGATTACAAGTGATATAAGTTTTATAAACCAACGCTCAGGGTGTGCACTAGATAAATTTATTTATTCAGCACACTGATACCCACTGAGAATGTGGACTAAGACTGTTTGGATGTCTTTTTTAAAAAGCTATTAAATAATGTTATTTATAAGTCCCATTGGTGGAGTCAGCTTCCCACTTCATAGCCAAACACACAATATAAACAATATAAATATATTTTTGTGATGAAAAGATCATTCAGCTAATTTAATTCTAAGAAATGATTTCGTGAAAATCTTACACAACATGCTAATAATGGTCACCCACCCAGAGAGGAGCTGCCAAAGGATTCCACTCACCCTGGGTGGAACCTTGCATTGAATTCTTTGTGAATTGCTTCTAGTGACGTTGATGGCACAAAACTGAGATCCAAATAACACCAGGCTAACGTCTTCCAAACTAGAGCCTTGGATGGTGGCCCAGAGCCCTCCTATAACAAAAATAACATTTGCAGATGGAATCTACAGTCACAGAGACAGACAAAAGTTAATTATCCACAAGTGAGACAAAATAAAATTAAAATATGAAGTCCTTAGTCCAAATAAAAGGTAGAATAAAACTGCAGGAAAAAAGACTGATTACAAATATTTAAACTATTATATAAAAAGGAAGAAATGGTAACAGAGGGCAGAGTATAGCAATGCCTTCTGGAGATGTTTAAGCTGTAGAGATACAACCCATCTGTGAGTCAGAGCAGTAAAGGTAAAGTACATGGTCTCTGAAAGCTCTTTCTGCCCTGGGTTTTTAAATATCAACCACAACAACCCTAAAAAAAATTTTTTTTTCCTGAGGAAACAAATATAGGGGACATCCTATAATAACAATAGTGTCAAGAGTCAGGGTCACAAATTGTCACTTAAAGCAGATCATTTGTAGCATCATCCCTGAGACACTGGTCTTACTTTGCTTATTTTTAAATGATAACCTGAGTCCTTTCCATCCTTCCTTTGGGATTTGACACCAACCCTGCTAGGCACTAGTCACCACGACTGTGCAGAAGCGGCTGACAACACCACCCACTGCCATCAGCATTTGCCATCAGCACTGACCACTGAAGAGCAATCACAGAAACCCCTGTCTCCTTACTGCCAGTGTTGGGAAGAGGCAAGACAATCATAAGACTGTCACAGCATACTCTTCCATTTGGATGAGCAGCCCTTGATCTAGCTGATAAACAAAACCCCACTTAGTATTAATGATGCTGGTGTGCAGATCCTCAGATGGAGACACAGGAGGCAGTGAGACCATCGAAAAGAGATGGTTATTCTCTGAGAATGGGAAGGGGGTGGGGAGCATGTTTATCTTCCCCACACATGTCAGGGTGAATAAGGGACACATATACACATATACAACCTGGTGAACACCTTTCAGAATAGCTTAGAATAATATCCTAATATCCTAAATTAGTATATAACCTTGCCCTGAAGAGTCAGCACAAGACTGCAATAGACTCCAATGTTAGAGAATAAAATGAAAGAGAAAGAGTTATAATATACTATAATTACAATGTGTATATATAATATATAATTTATAATAGCAACATAAGAAAGACAATATCTGAAAATCATCTTACAAGAAAAATTCAAAACTATGAAGAAATTTGAAAAAAACTTTGAAATGCTTCTGAGGAGTTTACTGAATGGATTAAGACTTAGAAAACTCAAAGAAATGGGTAGAAAGAGTGAACATCATAAAGGTGGCATATATTAAACTAAAGCATCAGTGCAATTTCAGTAAAAATACAAACCAAATTTTTAATGTAAATTAGTAAAACTGATTTTAGGACTCAAAAAGAAAAATAATGGTTAGCAAACAAAATTTCAGGAATAAAAATAAATGCATCATATACTGGCTATTTAAAAAAAGCTTATAAGAATTTTTAGGATTAGAGCATTTTTGTCAGCAAACCTCTTCTTCAAGCACAACTGAAAAAACCACCACCATGCACATGTATGCCTTTTACTGGTGCTCTGCTGGCACCCAGGAGGGACCCACACATTTTTCTCCCTGGGGTGGATGCTTTGTTACTCACTAAGGTTTTGGAGCAAAGATGGGGAGGAGAGCCTTAGCCTTGGAAGCAGCCATTCCTGATAGATAGTAATTTAGGGAAGGCACAGACTCTGTTGCAGTAGGGCTGGCATGGGAGACCTCTGCAGTGAGTGTGAAATCCTATGTTTCTTGCTGACTGAGCACCGGGAAAGATGGATTGGCCCTGGAATATCAGTCTGGCTACAGAGAGAGCAGTGGCAGAGCACTATATAATGCTCATGGGGACAATTCATCAAAAAGATACAACTGTCATCAATATTTCTGTACCCTCTGTATAGAACTCTCTTCTCCAAGGTTTCCATGTCTCCATTCTCACATGCCACCCATGGCATTCCTGCCACACCAATGACATCTTATCACAACCACCCACCCCCTCCATCATTGGCCCTGCTTGTTTTTTTTTTCTTACTCATTTACCATCAATGTCATGAAAACAGGGAGTTTGTTTTAATTTACTATATCCCCATTATTAATAGTGCCTGGCACAAAAGAAGAAATGAATTGTTAGCAATGTGATTCTTATTATTAATGAGAAGTCACACAGGTGGTAGCACTGTGCCACTCCCATTTAAAAGCTGAGGCTCCCCACCAACACCACCCCTAAGGAGAAGGCAACTTCTCAGCACAGACATGCACCAAGGAAGTATGTAAGGCAAAGCCAGGATTTTCCTCAAAAGTTTTCAAGAGTTCTTCTGCTCATGGGTAAGATGTGATGATATAGAGGATGACTGATCACATTACATTTATTCATTACCTACCAAAAACCCTGAATAGCCAAAGCTCTCCTGAAAAAAAAAAAAGAAGGGAATGGAGGCATCACACTCCCAGACTTCAAACTGTACTACAAAGCCATAATCATCAAAACTGCATGGTATTCTCTAAATTTCTTGTTGGTAGGCCTCGGCCTGATTCTTTTTAAATCCCCTTCTCGGGAATGGAGGCATCACACTCCCAGACTTCAAACTATACTGCAAAGCCATAATCATCAAAACTGCATGGTATTGGAAAAAGAACATACAGACCAATGGAATCGAATAGAAAATCCAGAAATAAACCCACAGATTTATGGTCAACTAATCTTTGACAAAGGAGCAAAGACTATGCATTGGAGCAAAGAAAGTTTGTTCAATAAATGGTGCTGGGAAAACTGGGTCGCTACATGCAAAAGAATGAAGCTTGACCACTACCTCACACCATACACAAAAATCAACTCAAAATGGATTAAAGAACTAGACATAAGACCTGAAACCATAAAATATATAGAAGGAAATATAGGTGAAACACTACGTGATTTGCACATCAAAGACATCTTTACAGACACATCACCCAAAGCAGTGATAGTGAAGGCAAAGATAAACAGCTGGGACTACATCAAATTAAAGAGCTTCTGCACAGCAAAAGAGACAATAACAAAAACAAAGAGAAACCCCACCAACTGGGAGAACATTTTTGCACCCAACACTAATGATAAAGGATTGATCACAAAAATCTGCAAAGAGCTGATGAGACTCAACAACAACAAAGAAAATAATCCAGTCAAAAAATGGGCAGAAGAGCTAAAAAGAAACTTCTCTGAAGAGGAAATGCAAATGGCCAACAGGCATATGAAAAAATGTTCAACATCACTTGTCATCAGGGAAATGCAAATCAAAACTACCATGAGATACCATCTTACACCAGTGAGAATGGCACATATTAAAAAAACTAGCAACAACAAATGTTGGCGAGGGTGTGGAGGAAAAGGAACTCTTCTGCACTGTTGGTGGGAGTGCAAACTGGTCCAACCACTATGGAGAGCTGTGTGGAGATTTCTGGACCTACTAAACATAGAGCTTCCATATGATCCAGCAATTCCACTCCTAGGTATTTACCCAAAGGACACAGAAACATCAATTCCAAAGAACACCTGCACCCCTCTGTTTATAGCAGCACTGTTTACAATAGCTAAGCTTTGGAAACAACCTAAATGCCCAAAAATAGATGACTGGATCAAGAAGATGTGGTACAAATACACCATGGAATATTACTCAGAATTCAAAAAAGATAAACACATGCAATTTGCAGCAACATGGATGGCGCTGGAAGGGATCATGCTCAGCGAAATAAGCCAAAAAGAAAAAGAAAAATACCGGATGGCCTCACTCATAGCAGGAATCTAGAAAACTTAAATAAGGGACCAGGAAAATGAATAACTATAAGAAAGTGAAAATCAGAATCAACAAAAAACTATGAAACAGAGACACTTTTGGGAGATGGGGGGTGGGAGGGGAGGGATTGGAATCAGAATGGGGGGGTTGCAATTGTATGGGGAATATAAAAATAAAATTTATTATTTAAAAATAAATAAATAAATAAATAATGTAAAAAAAAAAAAAATCCCCTTCTCCCCGACTCACCCCACCCTCCCACGGAGTTTCTCCAACTGTACTGTTTATGCAAATTGCCTGATGATGCTACTAAAATGCAGGTGAAATAAGAGATCTGAATTGAAATCAACAGGCAACTGGGCCTCCCCGGTGGCGCAGCGGTTGAGCGCTGGGTTGCGAAGCTGCCCGCGGCCTCTGTGGCGCCGGTTCGATCCCCGGCTGCTCCCCGGCCACCAGAGGAGGGTCCCACATGGCGCGCAGACCTCTCCTGCCGCCCGCTGCTCCCCTCAGCAGTGTACTTCGGTCCTTCTGCCTGCTCTGCTCCCCACTCTGGCTCTGGTGAATTCTCTCACCCTCCCGCACTTCTGACTGTACCCAGTGCATGTATAAACAAACAAACAAACAAATAAATAAAAACATGCCTCTATAAAAAAAAATATAAAAAAAAAATCAACAGGCAACTATAAACCAGAGACATTCTATAGGGGAGGAGAGGGAAACAGGATCAAAACAGAGGTAGGAAGAGCACAAGGGATTATGGTGATGGTACATGGATGAATTGGTGGAGGGAATTTCACAGGGACTATAACCAAGATGAGAAAGCAAACATTGTACAAAAATTAAGAACTTTGTAAAAAATATATAAAATTAAAAAAAAGAGATCTGAATTGGAGCCAGAGAGTATTCATTTCTGTCAAGCTGCCAAATGATGCCGACATTATGGGTCTAGAACCACACTTTGAGTACCAGTCTTTAGCATCTAGCACAGGGCTTTATGAACATTGAATAGTGACTGACTGACTGACTGACTGACAAAGGTTGATACAAGGTAGGTAGCATGGTAGGGGGATGACAGCATCACCTGTCTAAACTTGAGGTATCTGCAGTCTCTCTTGGGGGAGCTAAAGGATTCTGTGATCTGAGCTGCAGAGGTAACTTTACAAGAAAATTAATTCCCTTTGCAAATCTAGTACTAATATAGTATATACCCTACATTTGAACCAATAATCATTGGGCTACTACAGAATGTGATCTCTTACTCTGCATACCACATATCACCTGGCTCCTTCCTTATCCCACTGAGAAGAGCAAGCTTGCTATGTTTTATGTGCAGACATAGAGGGGCTCCATAATTTACTCATTGGGGCAAAATAAAGTCAGAAATGAACTGTTTCTTTGAACAATGGATTTGTGACCAGGAAATGCTTGCTTTACAAAATCTTGTAAGCTTCAGGTCTTTAGCCAACAGAATAAATAATGGCAAAACCCTAAGTCATTAAGGAGTCCTAAAAAATCATACATTGACATATAAAAGCATGAATGTTCCTAAGATTTCTGAGTTGTTCTCAGAAGGATTGTTTCTAATTGGCCATGTCTCTCAGAAAACGTGGGGATATCCTCTAATTCCACATCATTAAGACCTAATCCATGGGACTGGTATTAAGCCCCACTACCCTCTGCATACCCCCTCTTCATATACACCCATCTCTCATATAGTAGCTGGCTTTGCATGCTAGACAAGTACCAAAATGTATATAAATTTATGAACATTTGTAAAATCCCACTAATGCAAGCTCTTACTGGGAAAGGCCTATATATTAACAAACGTTTATATTTTTCAATGGGCTTAACCAGTGGTGGCTCATTCTACTCTCACACAGAACGAGGAGACATTGTAATGGCCACCGTAAAGGTCAGACAGCATGGCACACAGAAGAAGCAGGAGCCCGGGCATCTGACTGTCCCAGTTATCATCCTAACTCCTCCTTCCATTTGGGAAGCTTGGGCAAATCAATCTCTTCTTAGAACCACCATTATCTCGTCTGAGGAATGTGGATAATAATTTTATCTTTCAGGCAACTGTAAGCATTAAAGTGACTTCCGAACTGAGGGACTCAGTAAATGGTTCTATGTCTATATCATCATTATTAGGAAACTAAAATCCATAGAAGTAACTGAAACTCCTAATGTCACACATCTGACTTTGGTAGGATGACACACAAGATATGTCCTAACCCCTAATATAATGTTATTTCCAAGAGACCAAATTATGCCTGTGACTCAGTAACTGACCCAATTATGCCTGACACCATCAGTCAAATGTGGATCCTTTATGTGGCGAGTAAGTTAATTTAATACCTCAAATGTCTGTTTCTCATTAGGAAAAATGCTGATGGTAGAAAACAGAAAGTTGTGAATCATGGTGGATATGGCAGGACCAGAGAGAGTCCTGCAGACCAGCAAGAATGCTAGCTTCAGAGGGTCAGAAGCAATGTAGGGGCCTCCCCAGGTTACCAATCTCTGAAGCTCTGGAAGGCTCCACAGCATCCACTCTGGGTTCCACATGTAAGACGAGGCCTCCTCCACTGGCATTGATGGCAAGACCAGAAGGTCTCACCAACATCACAATCTGATGTGCTCCGACGGGGAGTAGGTTCATTTCACAGACCACAGTTGTAAGGTTGGAAAAGGTAACTTTGCAACTTGTTTTGTTCACTGTAACCTCTAAGGACTGGGAGTCACCATAGAAACTTGTTCCAGTAATGTAAACCAGTAGCTTGATGACACCATCTTAAAGGAGGACAGACATTAAAAGAACAAAATCATCTCTCAGTGAGAACATTCCCTTTACGAAAATTCTCTAACACCAAATATTCATTCCTTCCCCCTCCCTCTCCCAAAATTCATGGAGATGTCTTTTGAACATCTGAATTTATTATATTATAGCTCACAGCCCCATTAAATTTTCTCAAAATATTAATAAGAGATCACTTAGTCAATAAGAAATGGGAGAGAGAGCAAAATAAAGAACATTTCAAAACAAGGTACAAAGAGAATAAAACATTTGAAGTCATCATAAACCATTTGTCTCCATTTCAAATCATGACTATATCATTTAGATCAGCCAAAAAATACACTTTTTGCTATATCACTCGCCATCCCCATGAACCGATGCACCTTCTACCCATCCCTCACAGGATGCATGGCCTTTAACAAATCACCCTGAATTTGAAGTTCAAGACCATCTCGATGTCAAGTAAAAACCATACCAAGAGAATACCACACGGAATGGATCCTAGGAGTCGATGCTTCTAGGTACTGGAAAGTACAAGAACCTGAGCAATGAGCTGGTATGTCATTCACGCGCACAACCACCTGAAAAGAAGGCAAAAGAAGTAAAAGTAAACATATGCATGTCATAAACTAAAGAAGATTCATAAAGTGGCCTCCCTGGTGGCACGGGCAGTTAAGCCCAGCACTGTGAAGCTGTCTGCGACCTCTGTAGTGTGGGTTCAATCCCAGCGGGCCGGGGAGATACCCTCATGGCATGGCAGACCTGTCCTGTCTCGGCCACTGCTCCCCTCAGCAGTGTACTTCAGTCAGTCTGCCTGTTCTGTTCCCCACTCTGGCTCTGGTGAATCCACTCACCCTCCCACACATCTGGCCAGTACCCCGGTTCTTGTATAAATCTTTTTTTAAAAAAAAAGAATATTCATAAAGTACTTGTGAAGCTTACTCAAAATGAAAGGTATTAATAGTTCCCTTATTCTCTTTTTCTTTCTTCTATTTCCCAATAAAAAACCCCTAAATTTTAATGGTGACTCAAAACAGGTAATCTTAGACTGAATACAGGTGGACAGAAACCTAACATTTCTGCTATTGTACACTAAATCTTAGGTAAATTCCCCCCTCTGTCAAATAGAAGATTTAATAAAGTTCAAATTGCACAAGGACAAATTGTATTTGATATTTCAACTAGGTACCTACTTCCTGTGAATAACCCTCTCTTTGTTAATAAATGTCATGGAAATAGTACCCTACCTTCCATGTCTGTATGCTAATAGACATAAAGTAACATTAGAGTATATCTGGACATTTGGCTAGAGTCATTTTTTTGCCCTAGAATTATAGGTCCCCAAGAAGTCACCATATGTCTTTCCCTCCCACTGGGACTAATGTTAGCCTAATAGAACAATATGACACTTGGAAATGAGGAAAGTGAAAAAGATATGATCCAATTGATTATCTGTATATAAAATATAGATTAAAAGCACACACATTAATTGATAGTGTTTACTTATGGAGGGAAGGAGCATTGGGATGGCATGAAGAAAGTACTTCCAATTTATGACATTTTATTCTAAATGACAAAGACAAAAAGTTAAAACAAATATATCTGAGTGTTAGAAATTGCTACTCCTCGGGTGGTGGTTAAATTATTCTTTATAGTTTTCGTATCTTAAAATTTCCTTAAATTGAAAGCAGATGACTTCTAACAGGTGTATGTATTGGTAAAAAGAAAAAAAAAAGACATTTGAAAGAGAAAGAGTACTTTCCAATGCCACTATGCAGAAGTATAAATCCTAAGTAGCTCAAAAGTTACTCTGATAATACTGAAAACAAAATAATAGCATCAATGATTTTACTAATAGAATGCTGTCTTCACAAAGCACTTCTGTTTCAAAGTACTTTCCAAACCCTGTGGAAGTGGAAAGCAAATAGTCATAATTATTTGTCTTCTCTTGAAAAACTCATCCTTGGAATCTATTCACATTACAAGTCAAGAAAGGACTAAGCTGGACTTGAAGCCAGTGCTTGCACTTTGGATGGTCCATCCACTCTCACCTGGCTATGCTGGTTAACAGTCACCAACATGTCTCCAAATATGGGTCCTAGAAAAACTCCACCATCATAGACCACACGAGTGGCTGCAGCCGGGTTCACTCCAGTTAGATTTCCATCAGAGACCTAAGATGGTTACATTCCTGTTGAATTCTGTCATGGAATAATCTTGTTTAATCAAGTGATAAAGGGTCTTTTCACATTCCGTTTATGATAATTAGATAGCTAGAAAGTACTAATGAGTGACAGGGGATTGAAGTATAGAAATGAAAGAGTAAGTAATGGCTAATGAAAGTCCCAGTAGACTAGAGGATTATTTTGGATCTGTGTGATTTTCTAGTTTATGTATTCACAATCTAAAACTTTAAAATAAAATGTCAGGGAAGAAGGGAAAGAGAGATTCCCTCCCTTCCTCCATCTATACCCCAGTATTTTGTTTGAACCCAGATGACTCACAGTACCACAGAACGGGGGTAAAATTTCATTTGGGGTTTCATTTTATAATAACCAAATGCTAGATGATCATTAGATTATTTTTTAAAACCCTAAATATGCAAGAACATCTGGTTTTGTCATTATCCAAAGACAGCAAATCCTTTTCTAAACTCCCTTCTGTTGTGCCATCTGCCTCCATGATAATCTAAGTCAATCACATCTGCTTAAATTATCCAATAACAGATGTAGAATTATCGTCTGGTGGACACTGACCAACAACTTTTCTACCTACACTCAGTAAGGAAAGAAGATGCTGGACTTAAATTGCGTTATCAGGAATATGAGAAACAAAATACATCTTGGAAACTTCCAGAAAGGAAGATCATAGAACCTCTTTACTTGGATATTCTGATAAAATGAAGTAATTGAAGACAGTCTTCATTCATAAAATTCTGAGGTTTTTTTTTTTTTTACAAAATTGTTGTAGGTCACCAATTTCCATACCACCAAAAGGGATACCATACATACACTGATAAAATTGGGCAAGTCTCCAATCTGGGTGGACCAGGAGAGGGTCCACACATGTTCATAGCAAGATTTTCTCTCCTCCGTCACTGTGAAGTCACTGACATTGAGATATCTGGAGGTGAGGTCATCAGCAGTATTCTGTAAGAGCTTGCGAAGGTTACTAGCTGAAATGTGTACAGGAACGTCTGTGGCAGAAGATTTGGTATAGAAAATACAAGACACTAGTTACGGTACCTCATAGGGTCTCATCATCAAGATCTCGGAGAACAAGGCAGCATGGCTATTAAATTGCAGGAGACCCTCAAGTTCAAAATATACCTCCAAGAGTACCCCTAACTCAGTGGGGCCATTTCTCTCTGAAGGCAAATTAAAGTAGATGCCCAAGTACAATACCTGTAATCAGCATCATATTTCATTGCAAACAGAGCCCTCACATCACAACTATCTCAATTGTCAACTCAAAATGTGAAGTCCAGACACTCTGGAAATGCCTGAAAGTCTAATTAAATATTGGATTTCCCCTGGAAAAATTTAGCCAGCCCTGTGAACAGAGAAAAGTTGGCCACTTTTCACAGGGAGTGGGGGAGGCACACAGCAGCTGACACCCATAAAAACTTAGCCAACCCAGCTGAGGAATGTTGGCATCTAACTTTGGTTTCTCTATTCGAATTTGCTTTAAGCCCAACCACCTGCTTCTCCATTCCACATCCCCATAGAGAAATAACAACACTCTGCACTTAAGCCCTGCTTGTGTTTGAACTGTTTCATGTTTTCATGCTTTACCCAAAGTTTCCATTTCATTAGCTACTCCTGACAGCCGCTGTGAGGTAGGTCACGTGGGGCAGCCTAAAACCTACTTTAGAAAGGGAGAAAATGAGACCCAATGAGGTGCAGAAGCTTGCTAGCCAAGTGAGATAGGCTTAGCTGAAAACCCAGACTTTTTTTTCTTCGCATAAAAGATCCAGGGTGTAGACCAGAGATTCTGGGTGGGAGGGTGGGAGAGGGATTCACCAGAGACAGAGTGGGGAGCAGAACAGTAGGAGTGACTGAAATCCACTGCTAAGAGGAGCAGCAGGCAAGACAGGAGAGGTCTGCTGTGCCATATGTGGGTTAGCTCCCTGGCAGGGGATCGAACTCAGGCCATAGTGGGTGAAAGCATTGAGACTTAACTCCGAGGCCACCAGGAAGGGCCCCCAAGGATGCCTTCTCCCTATTCAAGAGCCTCCTCTTCAATTCTACATTATCCTAGAGTGTTAATAAAATGCCACCTATTCACCCTCCCGTGCTTCTGACTGTACCCAGTGCTTGTATAAATAAACAAATATTTTAAAAATAATAAAATAAAATAAAATTCCACCTATTTCTAAAATGCAAGCAAAATTCTCATCCTTTCAAAAAAAATCTACATTAATGCATAATTTGAGGGCCACCAATATTCAAAAGGCCCAGACAAAGGTTGACTTGCTCAGGTTACTTTGCCTGCAGTGTGGTCACTCACATCAGCAATGGGAAAGTGGAGGCCAGAGAATCTCTAGAGCGAAGCTGCAGCTCTCTCAGTCATGAGAAGAGAAGCATGCCACAGCAGTGAATTCCATAAAGGCAGGACACTGTGGCCCTTATTCCTCACTTACTCACTCCAGTAACCCAGGGGCCCTCAACTTTCCCTAAGTCATCCTGCAACAGTAAGAACACCCCTCCTTTCCTCCCACCTTAGATTCTTTGCAAACCCAGTAACTTTCTGCTTGGACGATGTAGGGTCAGGAATGGGCCACAGTGCAGGTTTTCTGATCCAGCAGACCAGGTAAAGGAGGAGTCAGAGTCCTCAGTGGCTTCTGCAGGTCCTTTATAGGGATTTTCCAGGCATCCAGGCATATGGCAGGCAGGGGTGCTGGGGGGCCGGGAGGCTGGCAGGCCTCCCAGTCCCCAGCAAGTCTTCATTCTACCTGGGTTCTCCGGCCTTCTCTGCTCCTCTCTCGGCTTCTGCTACTTCTTTCTCGCCTTCTCTTTCGGCTTCTTCTGCTCTTCTGTTTGTTCTTGGCTTCTCTTTCGGCTTCTCCTGGCATCCCCGTGACGCTGCCCTTAAAAGCCCAGTCTCAGCCCAGTGAATCCTATCTACCTATGCCCACACCCTAGTCCAGGTGCCCGCCATCAGGCATGCATTCAGGACCACAAGGATCCATCATCTATCCCGATGGTGGGAGGGCAGAAAAGCCTGACATTTTTCCTTACCCTACAGACGATGTCAGGGGACCAGTCCCAAGCCAGGCAGGATCATTGTTGATTTGGGCAAACAGCAAAAAGAATCTTGGAGTCCTCCATAGATTTGACATGCCTTGAATGATGAAGCGGGGGACCAGGTACACAGGCAGACCAGCAGGCAGGGAGGCAGGGATGCAAGGGGGCAGGGGAGCAGGGGGGCAGGGAGGCTGGGAGGCTGGGAGGCTAGGAGGCTAGGAGGCTGGGAGGCTGGGAGGCTGGGAGCAACAGAGCCTCCCAGCCCCTGAGATCTCCATGCTTTCTCTCTGGCTGCTCTCCTCTCGCTCCCTTCTCAGCCCAGGTGCCAGTATTTATAGCTGCACATGCCCATGCTCTCTGGCTTCCAGGTGGGCGTCCATAACCATAGATGCATGTGCCCATGCTTGCACTCCCAAGTGCTTCTTGCAACAGCACATTATCACATACGAGTAAAGAAACCTGGGAGGAAAACAAAGCTACATGTGGTGGCCACAGAAGCTAGAAGCAGGAAGGAGATAAAGCGCCTGACTTACTCCATTTTCCTTACAGCAGGGCAGAAAATTTATGGGTTACATGGCAATTTTTAGCAGCCACTCCCAAGTTCTTCAGAGTCTCTTTTCTGTCTGCCCTATGTTTTTATCAAATAAATACTACATGATAATCACCTCTAATTCTTGTCCTTTCTGAAATGTGTATGTTCTTGAAGATTTGGTAACTGCTCTGCTCCAATTGGATCTGAAAGCCCTTTGTACATGTGCTATGAGCACTAAAGTCCTCAACTGCTTATGGTATCAACACAGAGTTTAATTCATAAATACCTTGTCAACCAAGGATCTTGACCTAGGGAACCGTAGAAAGAAGAGTAAAATACCTGAGTTCAATGTTCATTTTCAATGATATGCACCTGAAACTTATATAATGTTACAATCTAAGGTTAATTGCAATTAAAAAAAATAAAATAAAAAGTGCCCGAGTTCACACTCAGACCATGCAATCAAATCTTTGTATGACCCTGGGCCGGTGGCAGTAGAGAGGGTCAAGGCCCTTCCAAGGAGCTGGTAGTGTCTTAGTTCCCAGAACCACTGACTACTCCCTAATAAGGCAAAAAAAAAAAGTGGTGAGGATGTGGAGAGGAGTTCAGTCTGGATTATGGGGGTGCTGAGAGAAGGGAGGGAGAAGCGAAAGCCTACAGGTCTATATGCATCAGACATATGCTTGTAAGAGAGAGGCTGAGGGAGTTATGAGACAGGAGAGGAAGAGACAGTGTGACCACAGAGGTAGGGGTGAGAGTAAGATGGCCACAGCCAGGGAAAGCCAGCCAGTAGTCACCAGAGGCTGCAGGAGACAGCAGATAGATCCTTCACCAGAGACTGGGGGGAGTGTGGGTATGGCCCTGCCGACCCTTTGATTTTGGCCTCCAGAACTTTGAGACAATAAATGTCTCTTGTTTTAAGCCATGAACTTTGTGGTAATTTGTTACAATAGCCCCAAGAATCTAATCCATTCCCTTTCCACATCTACAAAATTAAAAGGTTAGGATCATATTAACAATGATAAGTTATTGTCCAGATCTTTAATTTTAAGGTCATTTTCTGACACTGGAAAAGGAACAAAAGCTTTAGGATAGTCACCCTGCCTGACAATGCTACAGGACAGAGTTTGCCTCAAAATTTCCCTAAAAATGTAAACGGGAAATGCTGTACCCCCCCAATGTCCCTTTACCAGAAATCACTGTATTAGAAAGTTGGATGCGAAAGTGTCCTCCTAAAGGTGGGCTTGTCCTCTGTAGTCTCTGAGTCCTCACCAGCCCGGATCCTTCTTCTGCTCCTTCAGTGGGCACAGAGCTGTGGGGTGTTAAAAACAAAACATTTACCACAGCAAAGGCGAAGGGCCACTCTGGACAGAGCAGAGTGCCACCCACGTCTCCAGACCATGAGCTCCAACTGCCAACTATCAGGTATCCCTCTCCCACCACAACAGAAAAAATGTATGTAACCATTAGTACTTTTATCAAGTGTTCTGCTCTGCCCAACACCCCTCTGCACACTAACCCTGGAAGTACAGGAGCCAGAGTGGAGAGTGATGACCCACTACAGCTTTGGTCAGAAGCTCAGAGGAGAGCTGGATGTTCTCTAACCCATTTCCCTAAAAATGTAAATGGGAAATGCATTTTTAGAAGTGCATTCTAACTTCATACTCAGATGAAGAGGCCATGATCTATTCCATAAACATCCCCACTCAGTATCCCCAGCTGAAACTCAGGACACCCCGTCTCGCCCAGCATTTATCTAGTCCCTGTGCACAAACACCCTGCCTGACTAATCTCACTTCTAATATATGAGTCAAATAAATCATGACACACCATGAGATGGATTATCAGTCATTGAAAATCACATTTTGGAAGGGTGTTTAATGAAATGGGGAAGGATGTTTAGAAAATAGTTCAGTCGTGTCATTACGTGATAGAGTATGTAATACCTGGAGCCAATTTCAGTTTAAAAAGAAATATATACATGAATACAAAAACTGCTCAGGAAAAAAATGACTTAGAACAGAGAGAAGTTATCCCTGAGCAAAAGGATGAGATTTTTTTTCTTCCATGGCTTTTTCTGTTTTCCAGATTTTTATAGTAATGAACATATATCTTTTCGATCAATGATGGTATTATTTAAGTACTCCATATTAATGTGCAGAGAGAACCACACAGAAACAGAGAGAGTGATACTATTTGTGTTAGGGGATGAATTAAAGATTTGCTGGTCAGAGGCTGTCCTGTCTTGCGTAGGTGGAAGACTTCCAGAATGAGCAAGGGACTTGAGGAAAGCTCAGAAAGACAGCTTATTAGAAGCATAAACTAAGTAAACTAAGTTAGCCTTTACCATTTCTGCATAAATAACTGGCATTTGGAGACTGGGTGCCTGGTTGGTTAATGACAGCTGCTCCTTCACGCTGGAAGCTCTTTCATGCCTTCATTCTAACTGATGGTTTTGCATCTTTCATGCCCAGGGTCCGTGGAACACTAGTCAAGGAAACTGGACCACTGAGTCAAGCTTTCAGCACCTTCCCAGGTACAGTGTAAGAGAACTCATTTTGGAACATGTTAGAAAAAAAGGGAGGGGAAGGAGGATTTTTAACGCAAAGAATATCAATCCTCCCTGTCATACTGCAATTTTTAAGGAAAAATTAAAAGAACAAATTTTGAGTACACATGTGTTCCAGGAGCTTGGGGGAACCTTATCCTTAGTTATTGCTTTGTAAACTGTGGCTGGAAAGGGTGCTATTAAGCATCGCTGTGGTGCTCTAGTGCCATCTGGTGGTGAGTTCTTAGAATAGCTGTTTTGTTAGCTATTTCTGGGATTGCAAAGATTTCTGTATGTAGAATGGATTGAGGAAAGTGAACAGAAAACCACAGTAATATGAACATCTAAACAGTATAAAAACACAACTACTTCTGAATAAATTCACTAAAAACTAGTTCTTTAAGTATAGTTCCCAGACTAGTAGAATTGCCTGGCAGTTCATTAGAAATGCAAAATCTGGGGGCCTCCCTGGTGGTGCAAGGGGTTAAGCACCACACTTTGAAGCAGTCCGAAGCCTCTGCAGCACGAGTTCAATCCCCAGCTGGCCAGGGAGCAACCCACATGGCACAACAGACCTCTCATGTCTCGCCTGCTGCTCCCCTCAGCAGTGTATTTCACTCAGTCTGCCTATTCTGTTCCCCACACTGTCTCTGGTGAATCCTCTCACCACCACCACCCCCCACCCCGCATCTCTGGCCTCTACCCGAGCTCTTGTAGGCATAAATAAATAAATCTTTTTTTTTAAAAAAAAAAAAGGAAGAAATGCAAAATCTCAGGCTCCAGCCTCAAACCTACCAAATTAAAAATTGTGAGGTCAGGGCCTCCCCGGTGGCGCAGCGGTTGAGCGCTGGGTTGCAAAGCTGCCCGCAGCCTCTGCAGCGCCAGTTCGATCCCCGGCTGCTCTCCGGCCACCGGAGTAGGGTCCCACATGGCGCGCAGACCTCTCCTGCCGCCCGCTGCTCCCCTCAGCAGTGTACTTCGGTCCTTCTGCCTGCTCTGCTCCCCGCTCTGGCTCTGGTGAATTCTCTCACCCTCCCGCGCTTCTGACTGTACCCAGTGCTTAATTAATAAATAAATAAATAAAAAAATTGTGAGGTCAGGGTTCACCAATTTATGTTTAACAGACCTCCAGGTCAGTCTGATATAACATTCTTAAAATAGAGAACCATTTTTCTAAGCATTAAGACAAGATTTTCCCAATAAAAAGTCCCAACTCTGAGTCCTCCAGACCAACCAGCAATCCTTAGTAGGACAGGTGAACAATGACTGTCCCTACCTTATGGTGATGAGGGGGAGCTCCAGGCCACACCCCACCAACCAGACAGTTACATTGTAGACTGGAGGGAATCCCACCACAGAGAGCGATTCCACCAGATTCCCGCCAGGATGAGCTGTTCCATAATCAACCTGAGAAACTGGAAGCCAATCATCCAATCATTATCAGGTATCTCAGGATGGGAGACCTACTGTTTGGAAAATGCCAACTGGAGATGCTGAGTTATTTAGCTCTCAGCACACACAAAAACACAGAATCCTGGCTCTCTGCTCCCAGAAAAAGAGCAAAGGGACAGGAGGCCTTTTTGCTTTCAAATCAAATGGAAAATACAAGGTTGTGGTTTAAGAAGATGAAGAATAGCTCAATGACAAAGTTCAGTAAGCCCCCATTCAGCCGCAACATAACTCCATACACAACGTAACACACCTACACAGCCATCTTTTGTAGTGTGGATCCCCACCCTTTCCTCCTTTCCTTCCCGAAGCCCCTGGAAACTCTAGGCAGTATCACTGATGCTCCTTAGCACTGAGCAAATCCCGGGTAGAAGGTATTCCTCCACAGCATGGAGTCAGCACAGCATGCAGAAACAGTGCAAACTTTAAGACAGGCCATTGTTCAAATCCTGATTCTCCACTTCTATCAGGTGGCAACTTGGCTAAATGACAAACTCTCCATGGCATTTTCTCATCTGTGAAGTGAGGATCATGACAGAAAACAATCTGTGTGGCAGGAAGTTTAGTGAGATGGTAGATTTTAAACAACTAGCACAATATATTATAATATCTTCTTCCCCTATAACGAGAGAGAGAGAGAGAAGAATAAGGTGGAGGAGCAGCAAGGAGAAGCTAAGAAAAGCTGAAAGTCACAGGGGATTTGATGGAAAAGGGAACGTGAGGAAAGCTGGCACCATAGCCCTGAGTGAGAGTAAAATGCACCATGCATGGATGCACATCACACATGGCTGGCCTCAGCGTGACCCCTGATGAGCATGTTGTTCCTAAGATGTGTGGACAGTCAAGAGCAGGTGAGAGCCCTGTACCTAAGGGGGAGGAGATCAAGGAACCTTGGAGAGAAAGGGGCCCAACCGGAGATCTGAAGGAGGAATGTGAGGAATCTGGACAGGCAGAAAGGATGAGGTGCTTCTCATAAGGACAGAGTTACCTTTTAACCCTCACTGTGCTCTCCTAAGTGATAAATCAGAACTTTAGCCCATTTACAGAACAAAATAGAGTTGTGGTCCTTCCAACATTGTGTATGACATATATTAACTCACAGAGGTGGAGAAATCTGCTGGCCTGACAAGAGTAATAATAATGGTTTGTATTTATTGAGCACTTATTATGGTCATGACCTGTGAAGAGTGCTTTACAGTGCACTTCGGCTAATCTTTATAGTAATCCCGGGTAGGGTCCTTACTATGCCCATTTTACAGATAAGGAAACCAAGACTTCACAGTAAAATTGAGGAAAGTGCACAGGTATCAGAAGCAAGAACAAGCATTAGGTAAAGAGGAAAAAGGGGAACAAACTAGAAAAATACAGAGGCCAGAGAATCAGTTTTTCCCTCTCCATTAAAAGGACAGCAGCCCTAGCACAGACACTTAAGTTCAGCATGTGACAGACATATGAAGGAGAGTGGATTAGACCATCACCTGTTAGATTGGTGTCTGCAATGATAATTTCATCTACATAGAAACCTTCCTGCTCCTGAGCCTGAGGGAAGAGATCGATGTGACGAACCAGCACTGGGGCATCTGCCAGAGGCATCGGGAGATGCTCGGAGTGTTGCACACAGGTGTTCCAGAGGTCAGTGCAAGCGAACTTCCAGCTGAAAACCAAGAGCAGAGTGGAAATGGGCCTCTCCTCGTGCACCGATGCTCCTTTCCCACTGGCGCCCTGGTTCACAAGGCTGGGGTCTGAGGGTTACGTGGCCCAGAGAGAGACCCCAAGTCTCCCTGCACACAGACAGAACTGTGTGTGCAGACATCCCACCCCAGCAGGCTCAGCCCAACATGTGAGGCGATACCAGTGGGTCCCCTAATCAGTCAGTCACGCACTCCTGACCCTCAATGTCAGCAGCATCTTCAAATTACAAGTAATTGCCTGTCTTAGCCAGACCTTATGTCAGACATTACCCACACAGAAAATGAACACTCCTGGACATTACTAGACTCAGGTTTTATACCACTTTCAAGGCTGCATTATATTCCAGAGTCTTCATTGACTCGCTGATTAAATTTTGGTGAATCACAAATTTTCCAGGTTCCCATGCTTGGGAATCTTTTCTAACATCCCTTTCCACTGTGAGTGTTCCTGATGATGAGAAATGTCAGATTCCTTCTAGAAAGTATTAAATGCTTAATAGCTTCCTACTCTTAAACTTTGTCAGAAAACAAAAAATCATGCTCAAAGCCTGAAATTAGTATCCAAAGCCCAAATGTAAAGAACCAATAGTCCCTCAGGAGACCACTGCCCCAAGATGGCAGCATGCCACCAGGCCTCCCTGCAGATTAGTTTACCTGTCGGGACTGGTCCCCAGGAGACTCCAGTCACAGGAGATGTTTCTCTGAACAATGTTCTGAAGGTCTACTGTGAAGGACACGGTCACCCTCAGGATCTGATCCATGTGGCCTTTGTAAGCCATGCAGAGCTATGGACACCAAGTAAGTGATTCAGCTCTATTAATGCAAGAAGTAGCCATTCAAGCAAAGTGCAGTGTGGGGGATTCACCTCCCCAGAACGTTGTCTCACACTGTAAGGGAGAGAGCAAGTCTTGTTCCTTCCCTCTTGGAGCTTATCAGAACAACTGGAGAAAGAAATGGTGCAAATTGTGGTTTAATTCCACAGTTATTAAATGCCTAGCCCTGTGCTTGGTAGTGAGGAGTATCTTAATTAGAAAATTCTTACTCTGACCCAAATATCTGTGCAATCTTGAGCAAGTCACTTAACTTCCCTGAGCCTCAGTTCCTTAACTTGAACTCTCCTGTATCCTTGGTTTCTAAATTTAAGTGCAGAATTGTTTGGCATGAGATTTCAGAGCAGGATTTATCAACCCCAGCACTACAGACATTTTGAATCAGGTCATTATTCACTATGGGCTTGTCCTGTGCATTGTAGGGTGTTCAGCAACATCCATGGAGCCTACGCACCAAGTGCCAGGATCATGTCCACAGCTGTGACAACCAAAATCTCTCTCCATAGCAACTCTCCCCTAGAGGGAAGAGCACCCCCACCCCACTGGGAGCATGTTGTTGGGAGGAAAGGCTGGGATGGGGGATCCAGCACCCCTGCAGCTTGACAGGGAACAGACGTGACACCACTTTCTTGAGCTAGGCTACCCAGCAAGGCTCACTCTGGTTCTAAAGGACACATGAGCTGCCATGCTTTTATGAAGGAGGCTCTGCTATTTGACACAAAAGCTATGGGCCTCTCCTATCTAGACAAATATTCTCGAGATTATTATCTCTCTCCTATCTGGAGAAACATGTCAGTCGATGATCAATAGCAATGATAGCTATAATAATAGAGGATAATAACAGTGCTAACTGCTAACTACTGCACACAGTATACTGGATTATCTCATTTAATCTTCACCACAGTATTACTGCCCAGTTTACACAGGCATGAACTAAAGTAACACACTGAGGACATGCAGGGTGTAGTCAGAAATCAGAACCAGAGAGTCTGACTATGGAGCATCTGCTCTCTTATACCTAAGAAAATACGAGAGCATAGTAAAACTTCTGAAGGTCTCCCAGCCTGATACAAAGGCATTTCCATGTAACAGCAAGCTGACGTAGGATGGGAGGTATAAGTTCACTTCTGAAATAGCCGTTAAGACACCTAGAGCTTTAACCAGAAGGATCTTGGACAAATCACAGAAATCACTACTTTATACTTCTGTTTCTTCAGTCTCAAACCCAGAGAACAATACCAATCCACCCTACCAACCTCTCCCAATACGTGAGGCTGCCACTTACATGTGTGTGCTGATCCAGCCTGTAGCCCTTCTGGGAGGCTGGGGGTGTGAGGACAAGGTGTCGAGGCCGATGGAGGCTGAACCTCCCACAAAAGGGCTCTGTCCCACTGGTAAGATCCCCATCAGATCTGGAACCTTCTAAACCTAGATACAGTTTGGATAAAATAGGAAGACAGAGATGTTAAATAAGACAACTTCCCAACATGCATGCAGAAATGGAGTGTGTGTTCACCACGGCATAGGCCCTCTGACCTAGGGCATGTCTTATCGGGCTTGATGCCTCTAGATAGGAGAGGTCCTTGCTGTCTGCCCTAAAATATCAAAATCTATCACCATTTTCATTATGTACGATGATGTGAAAAATTTTTGCAAAGCAAAGAAACAAAGAAGTGTCGACTATAATTTAGTAGTGTTTCAAAAACTTACCCTCACATGTTAAGAACTTAAGAGTACTGTCTTATGCATAATTGTTTATTTGAGACATAATTTGAATTAAACAAGAGTCTCACTGTGTGGAAGGGATGCATTTGAGAAGCACTTTGCTTCACCTAGCAACTCAGGGGGTTGCTTTTTCTCTCTCTGACACCCACACTAAACATCTCCCCACCTTCCAGTATGTAGTCACTCAGTTTCCAAATCCTGTCCAAATATCTTTATTTCACTACATTAGTACCTTGAAGTGGAAAAGAAGATGGTTCCCATTTTACAGGAAAAAACAAAAAGGAGACAACAAAGATAAATAAGGTCAGAAATTGTCAAATGAGGGACAGCACCTTGTTCAAATCCAAGTCGGAGCAGGATGTGAGCAGAAAGGGGGACCAACTGGCATCTGACTGCAAGTAACTCCTCAATGGCTGTTTGAATCTGTCAGAAACAAAAGCTACCAGGAGTTCATACCGTGGGCATAAAAACCACACCCCAGGGCCTCCCTGCTGGCGCAAGGGGTTAAGACACAACCTATGACGCTGTCGGCAGTCTCTGAAACACGAGTTCGATCCCCTAGCCGGCCAGGGAGCTACCCACATGGCACAGCAGACCTCTCCTGACTCGCCCGCTGCTCCCCTCAGTCAATGTGCCTGTTCTGCTCCCCACTCTGTCTCTGGTGAATCCTCTCACCACCACCCCACACACACACCTCTGGCCTGTACCCCAGCTCTTGTATGCATAAATAAAATAAATCTTTAAAAAAAAAAAACCACCCCCCAGGTCCCAACCTCTCAGTATTTGAAGAAAGTTCCCACCTGATGGGCTGTGGCATTTGCAGGAATTGGCTGACTAGAGACATTGTCCCAAGTAAGGAGAAAGCTCCCTCTGCTGGGCACAGTCAGCATCTGAAAAGTGAGGGGTGATATAGGGGAACCAAATAAGACATCAGTGTAAAAAAATAATAACAGTACAAAAACAACAAAGCAAAAACAGACAATTATAAATCAGAGCCATCCTGCAGGGAGGAGGAGGGAGAGGGATCAGAGGGAGGGAGGGAGGAGCACAGGGGACTGTGGTGATGGTGCACGGGTGACTTGGGGAAGGAAATTCTATGGGGACTCAACCTGAGGGAGTGGGGGAAAGCAAATATTGTTTTAAAAAATAAAAATTTTAAAAAATTAAAATAAAATAAGTTGGGGGTGAAGTGTTCATGAAGTCAGAGAGGAAAAACCTCCCCAGGCTTGTTATTTCCTTTTCATTATAATTCCAAGTTTTTAACTCATTATCATCTAGCAATTTCCTGGGAACACAAGCATCAGTGCAACTTTTCTTGAAACAATCTACATGTCTGTCTCCCTATTTATTTGTGCCCCCTCCTTTTCTCTAGCATGTGAGGGTTAATTGTTGCCAAGGCCTAGTCCACTCCAGCCTTGCCACCAAGTTCTCTCTCCAGGGGTCCAGGTGGTGGTCAGGGGCAGCACAAGGCGTGAACACAGTCTCAAGCCTATTCAATCTCTGCTTTGCTTCCACTATAATCCTTAATGGATATATTACACTCCTGCCATGGGGTAGGACCTATGTAATTTATACTCTCTCATAGCATTTCTTATTCTCTCCTTTGGTCTAGGAATATTTGTGTGCATGTCTTACTATCTCACCATAAACTTTACACTTGATCTTAGCCAAAAGGCCAACAAGCGATACCATAAACTTTAGATGGAAGAGTCCCTATTGATTCATCTTCGTACACCAAAAAATAAGCAAAAATCACACGAAATTTTTTCAATAAAAATATGGGGTACAACAGAGAGGCCCAAAGGCCCCAACCTTGACAAAGCAGACTTAGAAAATATAGCATATGGGGAAATTTTTTTAAAATGATGGAATCTGGGCCTCCCCAATGGTGCAGCGGGTTGAGCGCAGCACTGTGAAGCTGTCCACAGCCTCTGCAACACGGGTTCGATTCCCGGCCTGCCAGGGAGATTCCCACATGACATGGCAGACCTCTCGTATCTCGCCCGCTGCTCCCTTCAGCAGTGTATTTCGGTCGTCTGCCTGTTCTACACCCCACTCTGTCTCTGGTGAATCCTCTCACCCTCCCGCTCCTCTGGCCTGTACCCCTGTTCTTGTATAAATAAATAAATCTTTTTAAAAATATCTTTTTAAAATATAAAAATAAAATTTAAATTAAAAAATACATAAAAAAAATAATATAGAGGGCCTCCCCTGGTGGTGTAGCAGTTGAGCGCTGCCCGCAGCCTCTGCGGCACCGGTTCATTCCCCGGCAGCCGGCGAGGGTCCCACCAAAAAAAAAAAAAATATGGAATCTGATGTGTCAACACAGATGTGCATGCACACATCTGTGTGTGCCTGTGTGTGTGCACACGTGTGTTCAGAGGACTAAGGGGAATAAATTCTCAAAAGCAGATATGCCTAAAACTTAAATTCCTAAAACTAATTCTATGAGTAAAGTCATCTCAATAATAAGGTTTTGCATTTTTTTTAAAAAAACATCTTCACAATCCTATTGGATAGATATCTCATTTCTCTGGCACCAGAGTTATCACAACTTGGATCTCCTGGCTCCCGGTCAGTGATCCCTTCGCTACGCAAGGCCTTAGTCCCCTCAGTGTTCATCCCCTAATCTGACCTCATGAAACTGGCAGTAAACATAGACCTGGGTTTCTGGAAGTCTCTGGGCATGGACTCGAATCTGATGCTTCTCCCGGAGGTAAGTGCTGACCACATCAGGATTCAGCCATGTGTTGTGGATCTGCACCCCAATTTTCATCCCCCTGCTGGGGGCTCTCCCATGATGCTCTGCTTCCAGGTAGTACTTGGCTCCACCATACAGCTCCAACTTGGGGGACTTCTGCTGCCAAGTTCCCTCATCCCCATTCTGCTCCCAGGAGTCAAACCAGTCGGCAGTGCCCACTCTGATGGAGGCCACTCTCAGCTGTATCCAAATAAACACAGCACCATCAACACCATGAAATTCCTGTGTCTCTCCTCAAAACTCAGGGTCTGGACAGTGACTGACAAGGACTTTTGGGACTGGGCTGCCATATCCACATTGGCCCAGTCACACTAGAACCTGTGGTTCCTTATGCTTCTCTGCCCCTCATTCTTTCTCCTTTGAATAGTATTCAGAAGGAGCTACAGGAGCCCTGGTTACAGCTGGGGCAGCCAACCTGTAACTTTGGGGTTACAGGTGCTGTGGATAAAGGAGTTATTAAGCCTTTGAGGAACTGAAATGACATAACCACATCCAAATCTATGACATTTCTCTAGCCAACTAATGAATCAATTTCATAAAAGTATGCTAATAATTTGAGGTGAGAAATGTGATTCTTTGTCAATGACCTGGAGAATTTTGACTATTTATTAAAAGCACCTTTTCTTATCCTTCAAAGCTGATAAGAATATTTCTTCATAAGCCTACATCCTTGCCCAAAATTAATGAAAAAGGCACAATTTTTAGAGTCAAGGAAATCTATGTTTGGACCCTAAATACATCTCTTCCTAATCAAATGACCCTGCATTAGCCACACAATCCTGAAAAGTCTTAATTTACTTATTTGGAAAATGGAGATAAATATATGTATCAGTCACAGAGAGGATGTGCAATCACAGACAATGCATAGAAAAGATGTAGTGTGATACCCAACTTATTTCAGGTGCTCAATAAATGCAGGTGCCATCTTATTCAGTCAAATTCTTTTTCAACAATTAAAATTATGTCAATTATGTCTCAGCTTCAAAAATATTTTAAAAAATAAACAATATCCCTGCTCCCAAAATTAAAATCTTTGTTTACTTAATGGCATGTTACACTATTAGTAGAACATGAGAGCTTTAATTATGATTTTTTTTTTCAGAAGTGAAGAACTAGGTACAAGGTAAAGAAAAAATAAGAGAAAAGTAAAAACCTTGGTGTTTGGATCCTCCGACCAACTGAAGAACAAGGAAGCTTGGCTGTCTGCCTGGATCCAGAAAGTGTAATTATTTGTCTCTGGGGCCACAAAGAATCCACTGAGTCTTGCACTGTAAAGCAGAAGAACAAAGCAGGAAGAGAATCACTGATATGACTGTTTGCTCTTGGACTTTGCTTTTCTGTATCATAATGAGGAGGAAATACTTGACTCTTTTATATATATATTTTACATCATTGTTCATTTTTAAACAATGTTTGCAATCCCCCTCTTCAGGTGTTGTCCCCATAGAATTTCCTTCACCCATGTACCCATGCACCATCACCTCAGTCCCTTGTGCTCCTCCCTCCCTCCCTCTGATCCCTCTCCCTCCTCCTCCCCTGCAGGATGTATCTGGTTTATAATTGTCTGTTTTTGTTTTGTTGTGTTGAGTTTTGTATTATTATTTTTCCCCTGATGTCTTATTTGTTTCCCCTATATTCCTCCTATAATTGAAACCATCCAATATTTTTCTTTTTCTTTCTGACTTATTTCACTGAGCATAATTCCTTCTAGCTCCATCCACATTGCTGCAAATGGCATGAGTTTATCTTTTTTGATTGCTGAATAATATTCCATTGTGTATATGTACCATATCTTCTTCATCCAGTCATCTATTTCTGAGCATTTGGGTTGTTTCCAGGTTTTACCTATTGTAAATAGTGCTGCAATAAACAAAGGGGTACAGGTGTTCTTTTAAATTAATGTTTTTGTGTCCTTTGGGTTGATCCCTAGTAGTGAAACTGCTGGGCTGTATGGTAGCTACATTTTTAGTAGACTGAGGAACCTCCAGAGAGCTTTCCATAACGATTGGACCAATTTGCACTCCCACCAGCAATGTAGGAGAGTTCCATTTTCACCACATCCTCGCCAACATTTGTTGTTGCTAGTTTGTTTTTTTTGACATGTGCCAATCTTAAACACTTGACTCTTATGCCAGGATTGGCCAGAGAATTCTATGAACAGCTGCCCCATGGTACCTGCTTAATTGGGTCTCCTCACCACAATTCCACTCGCAGTAGGTTGTCTTCAGGACATTTTAGCACAGGGCTGCCTGGAACCTGAACTGAGAAAACCCCCCAAGAGGCGAGTGCAAGGCTGGGACCCGGGAAGGCACTCAATAGAGAGTAAAAGTTATTTTTTACTTATTATTATTATTTGCTTAGTATGAGAAACAAAGAGAGATCACTGATCAGAATTTGCTCTAACTTGGCCTGGAATTCTTGTTTCTTGTCTCCTACTCCAACACATGCATGCTTTATAAGGTATTATATGAGATCGCCCCTCTGGCTAATGTCAGACAATGGACGCTTTACATTTACCACATGTATAGTTCTAAATGCACATGGACAATCATCATTTACAAATATATTTTCTGCCAAATCATCTTATTTGACTGGAGGATGACCTTTTGCAATTCTTTCTGGAGGCAGTAAAGTGATAGACCTGAAATGGCCCCAAATGTTATTAAATGAATCTTCTAGTTCTTCCTTATGGCAGAGATTAACTCCTTAGAAACAGGTGTATGTCTCTGTGAGCCTTCACAGCACTGGTGAAGGCTCTTTAAAATACCACACACCTGTGGGTAACAAAAGCTATTGTATAGGTGGAGTTTTGGAGAAATCACTAGAGTTGAAATCAGAAAATCCAGAGCTTAGCTCTGCCACTTAATAATAATTGCCCCAAATTTTGAAAAAAAATCACTTCACCCATTAGACATGGCGGTTCCTCATCTGTATATCTGTTGACTGATGAAGTCATTTATCTTTGAAGGTCTGGGTCACGGAAATAAGTAAGGACATGTCTCTGAGCCAAATAGGGAGACACAAGGAACTACCCTGAGGGGCTGCTGTCCTGCCCTATTTGTGTACGACCAGGTCACTCCCTCCCCACAGGTGATGACCTTCCTCTCTCCCCCACAATGTTGAACAGTGTTGGTTTAACATAGTTGGTCAGGAGATAGTTTTTAAATATTGGAGGGTTTGCTAACTAAATGATGTTTCACACACACACACACACACACACACACACACACAATTCGCTCAACACCAGAGTATTTTTCAAATAAAAATTTTGTGTTCCCCAGAAAAAAGTCAATTGAAAGTATCAGCAAGTTCAAATTAAAAGTTAACCTGCAATTTTAAAAAAGACAGTAATTTTATGAAACAGTGTGTTTAAAAATAAGACTATTTTTAAATGTTTAAAATGAAATCTAGTGACTTAGTTTGAAAGAAAGTAATGGCTAGGAAAATGAGTAAGCTCCCTCAATAAATGCCAAGAAATAAAACAATCTATAAGAAATTAAATATCAAGAATATTTTTTGAAAATAACTAATTTTAAAGATCCAATACTACAATAATCAACATTCCAGTTATTTTAATTTTTTTTGAATTTTAGAGAAATGAATGAGAGAGAATGGAAAGAGTTATTATCTGATTGATGGTGGTACCTCAAAATGACAGTTAAAGAGATGTCCCTGAGGGTGGAACCACACAACCAAACGTCCCTTGCTGTTTGAGGTGATCTGATTCTCTTCTTAACACTTCCACACACAATGAAAATGGCTGGAAAGTTTCCCTTTGAACATTATTAATAGTCCTCAAGGTCTATGAGAAAGATGCCTTGTTAGTGCTAAAAGGGACCACAAATTATTGCTACTTTAAAATCATAAGTTGACAGTCAAATGCCAATTAGTCAGTCTTCAGGGATAATGGAGACTATTCTGTTCATAGATGTAAACAAACATCTAAAATTCCCTAAACAGAGAATAACATCTTTCCTTCCACAAATGAACTGAAATTTAAAATGCCCAAGTCATTGTAGGAGGTCACAGATTGACTGGAATTTGCACAAAGGAGTCATAGCCAACCTCTTTTAGAAGAGTTTAGAAAGGAAAAGTGCCACCATAGAATAAAGGAGCCATCCCTGTCTGTATAGACTAAGAATACAGCAAGACAACAGTGTGTCTAAGCAATTTTCAGACTATTTATATTTTTAAGTCCAGTTCAGAATACCAGTTTCCCTCATTATCCAAAAGTAGAGCATTCCATGAGACCTCTCATAAGTCACAAGCATAAAGAAGCAAGTACCCTTAATTTATATGGAAAAAATTTTGAGTGTTCCCAGGCCCCCCAAAAATAGCCTATCAAGTCATACCAAATAACACATAAAACCCCAAATAACACTGAGATAGAGTAGACACAGGGATGATATGATAAATACACTGTCTAAAGTAGTTCCAGGGAAGAAGCTTAGTGGGGTCTCTCTCACTGCTCTAGATGCTGCTACCTATAGTATACAGAATGGCTGCTGCAAAACAAATGCTGGATAATATTTTGCCTTTTACCTTTTGTCATAAAAGCAAAAATCTCTTCCAGATCTGTTTGGATAATTCAAACAGGTACCAATATTTTCATAAAAGAGAAGTGGTGAAACTAGAAATTACACAAAGCGAGGGATACCTGTACTAGGAATTTAGGCCATATCCTTAAGGGATTAAAGACTCAAAACACTAAACAGGAAAATCACAATCACACTGTAGTCACTATTACAGAAAACAATGTCTCAGAGTCACAGGGTCTTCTCTTGCTCTCACCAGCCACTGACTGATCTTCCACACAGGGTGGCTATTCCAACAGTACTGATTGCTGCCTGGCCTCTGCTCCCTCATATGCCCAAAAGACAAGCAATTGCATCTCTCTTTATCATCAACAAGAGGTTGGTGTCACTTCTTAACCACATACCTGCAGTAATTTTTACCCAGCTCTCTGGCAAATCTCCTGACCTATTCAGCTGAATGGTCCAATTAATAGTTATCCCCAAGGCACACTGTAGAAAATACAATTTTATATATTGATCAAATTTTATCATGTGCCTAATACACTAATAAGATAAACACCAGCTGAGAACAGCGGTCTACTCCACCTTGTTTGAACTGACAGGTGTTCTGAATTCTCCCCTGGAAATCTCATTGCCATACTTGTTTAAATAAACATATCCACTTATTTTCTTGCATCATTGTTAATTTTTGGATAGTATTTGATTTCTCCCCTCAGGCATAATCCCATAGTTTTCCCACCCATGATCCATCTCCACAATCCCCTGTGCTCTTCCCTCCCCTGTTTTGATCCCTCGCCTTCCCCCTCCCCAGTCATATGCCTCAGATCTATGGTCAGCTTGCAAGTTTTGTCTTTTTCCTGAACCTTCATTTGGTTTCTCTATATTCCACATGTAAGTGAAACCATCTGATATTTGTCTTTTTCCTCCTGACTTATTGCACTTAGCATAATCTCTTCCAGCACCATCCATGTTACTGAAAATGGCACTAGTCTACCTTTTTTGATCCTCATTGCCGCATTTACCTGTCTCTTGGCTTCAACTAGGCTGGTAAAGACACTCTTGATATGATCTGCCAGTTTTCCTACAACATACCTGAAGGGTTGTCCTTCCTTTGACCAAAATCCAAATGGAGAACTGGCATTAGGGACGATCTGCCACCTGTACCCAGGGGTGGCCTCAGTCAGGTCCAAGCCCTCAACAGCATCTCCAACTTCGAAAAGAAGCCCTCGATTGCCTGCAAGATGGGTACACATCCCAAAGGTCAGAGGGCATTCTCCCCAATTTGGGGAACTACATTACTTCGGGTTACAAAGTGAAAGGTGATCCAGGTACTATCTGAAAAGATGACCCAACTGAGACTTAGATTGATTGGTCGCATGAGAGGTTCTATAGCTAATGCAAATGTTCTAGGAAGAAGGAAAAAAAATTTTTTTTAATTTATTTATTCATGCATACAAGAACCAGGGTACAAGCCAGATGCGCAGGAGGGTGAGAGGATTCACCAGAGACAGTTGGGAACAGAACAGGCAGATGGACTGAAATACACTGCTGAGGGGAGCAGCAGGAGAGACAGGAGAGGTCTGCCACGCCATGTGGGATTCTCTCGGCCAGCCGGGATCAAACCCGCACTGCAGAGGCTGCAGACAGCTTCACAGCGCAGCACTCAACCACCTGCGCCACCAGGGGAGGCCTGAAAGAAGATAATTTTATGTGGTGTGGGTCTTAGCCTCTTGGAAAGAAACTTGAAAAGAAACTTGAAAAGGAATACTAAGAGGAAATATTCTCAAAGAACCAGAGAAGAGTAGGGAGCCATTCTTAAGGTGAGTGTCTAGAAAAGAGAATGAAGTTCTGGAGAAAATGTGATTTGTGATTTAAGTTAAGCAATGCTGATACAAATGCACAGGTGTGATTGATACTGGATATTAATGTGGGTGGAGGGTTAATAGCCCTGGATTTACACAATTGTGGGTTCAGATTCCAACTCTGTCACTTACTAAAGGTGTGGCTTGGAACAAATTACTTCTTTTGGAAGTGATATAAATGGAATTTCTATAAATAGAGCTAATATACTAAAGACTAATGGAGTGTGAGTAATTTGTCAATTCTAAAGTGATGAAATTAGGAGGAAAATAAAAGTCGATTTGATAATTCTTGGTCTAAGGAGAGACTAAGGAAGATATATACAAAGATATATATAAAAATATATACAAAGATCCTGAAATATAGTAAGTACTCAAGAAAACATAGGACTGGTGATTAATAATTACTATTGTTATTCCTCATTAAATCCTAAAAGGGAAAAAAATAGATAAGTAATAAGAAGAAAAAATAAGAACAAATTTTAAGAATATTGCTTTAAACCAAAATTCTCAACTGCAGCACTACTGACATTTGGAGCTGGATAACCCTATAATGGGGGCTGCCCTGTACATTGAAGAATGTTGAGCTACCTCCCTGGTCTTCCCCATTAAAGACCAGAACCACTGCCACCACCACCCCCAGTTGTAACCAGACATTGCCAAGTGTTTCTTGGGGACCACTGAGAACCATCGCTCAGCATAATAATTTGCCATACTTCCATGGAAAAATTCAAAAGCTCTTCATAAAGGACTTTATTAATTATCCAGAACAGCTGCATTCCTGAAATTATCCTGCTGCAACCCCAGAAGCTAAAGCAGGAACCACTCAAAAAGGGAGCAAGCTCCCCCCTTCCTGACACAGGAAACATGCATTCTCTCCATCATTTGCTTCAGTAGTTTTGTTTCCTGAGATGGGAGCTTTCCCTGAGCAAAAACTGCAGATCTGGGACCTGCAGAATGCTCAGGCCAAAGCTTTGCAAGCGTTTTCACACCCGAATGGTCTTTCTTTAGAAAGGTTTCCCCTTCCACCCCACCCCACTGCTGGGCAACTTTCCTTGTAAACTTATCAACCCTGAGCCTCTGGGGATGAGCTGATGCCTGAAGTTTATCCTCAAAGTCTGGCCCTGTGGGGCAGGTAAAGAGTACATACCGGCTATGGCTCTGAGCCTCGTAACAGGCCAACCACCCTTAATTCTTACCTACACTTGAGCTTCTGATCCTGATCTTACAGAAAAGAGTGTGATGCTGCACTCCTCACTGGAAGATTTATTTTTTTTTACATTCTTTTTTTTTTTAGTTTTATATATTTTTGACATCGTTTTTCATTTTTGCACAATGTATGCATTTTCATCTTGGTTATATTCCCCATACCATCCCGCCCCCCTTATTTTGGCAGTGGGAGCTTTAAATAGAAAAGGACAGAACTGCCACCTTCCTCCTCCATTTCTGCCCACTTCTGGCATAAACTGGTAGCAATGTCACCATATAGCTACCTTTCAAAATAGTGCACAGCTGTCCACAGGGAAGAAGCAGAGACATTTCAATGCACCCCACTGTGCATTGGTTTTATCTGATGCTGTCTCAAGGAGCACAGAAGAGTATTCTCATGCTCCTGTCTGGGCACATGGGCATGCCACTAACCCATCGTGGGCAGGGGGCGGCTCAGGGGCTTCCTCCACAGCTGTAACAATGTCTGGATTGTGGTGGTGCTTTCTGGACCACCGTCTCCCACTGAACCCCATGGGTCATTTATATGCCAGGCACAGAGCATCACTAAGCATTTTCATTAGGCTTCATTCTCCTGAATGAAGCCCTGGCGGTGGTAGCAAGGACCAGGGCTCTGAATTAACCAAACAGCTGAGACAAGAGTCAAAATCTTTCATTTCTACTCCCCATCCCCTCCTGGTTAAAAACACACCCTGACCCACCCTTGTTTTAATTCTAATCCCTCCTCCCTCCCCCTGTAGTGTGTCTCTGGGGTGGAAATTGTATGGGGACTAAAACCAAGATGAAAATGCATACATTGCACAAAAATGAAAAATGATGTAAAAAATATATAAAATTAAAAAATAATAATAAAAAAATTCTGACATACATACATACATACATACATACATAAATAAAAATGGAAACAGCTGAACAGCCTTGGGGCAGTCCTTACCTGCCTGAGGTGCTGTGAGCCTAGCACCTTTTCCTGGAGCCCTCGTAGTGCACTCAATCTTCCTGGGAGATACGTGTGTGACATCACAAGGGATGCCTGAGGAGAAATTTTAAAATGAGATATAGATATATGGAGACAGAGAGATGTGATGCTATAGATAGATACAGATGGGTTGCACAGATGTGGTGGTAGGACTGCACTGAAGAAAACAGACTCCTCTTCTAAGGCAAAGGCTGTGTGTGGACTGTAGCCAAAATTGTCACTCCAGCGGAAGGGAAAGTGCAAAGCAGGGAAACAGAGCAGCGTAAAGTAGTAATAATAGAAAACCATGTTTGTGGTGAGTGGCCACAGTGAGTGCCTCTCACTGAGAATGTGCCAAACCACTCTCCTGAACTTGGAAGGATCAGTGTATGTGCCAGGATGAGCACATCTGCCTGCGGGCTTGGCATCACCGACTAGAGGAACATTCCACCCAAGAGAGCAAAAAATTTTAAGCAGGTACCACAAGAGAATGTGCTAAGGGGCCATTCCAGACGAAGTGCCCAGCAAATGCCCGCCCACTGCAGCTAGTCCATATAGAGAGAGTGGAAGAGGAAGAGGAGAGCCTTATGGAGAGGCAACAGTATGCTTCTCTCATCACTCTCAACACTGGGGCACCTGAGAGCACTGACTGTGACGTGTGGGACTGCAGAACACCCCATCCCTGCTACGTGCCTGCATGACAACCCTGCCTGGTCTCAATCAGACACAGGTAAAGGACCTTGGAGCAGGGTGGCATGATGAGTCAGAAGAAGCAAACATTGCTTCTCCCCACTCTTTCCTTGCCATGAGAGATACATAATCTCCTACCATGTTTAAAACTATGAACTATTTTCAGCCATGTCTACTTAATTACCCGCAATGGTAACCTCAGCAGGATTGTCAAAGAAGTCTCCAGTAATCATGATGTCTGTTCCTCCCCCAAGGCTTCCAGTTGCTGGAAACACAGAGAATATGTCTACAGAAAAAAAAAGAAAGAAAGAAAGAAAAAAATAAGCTTCCAAATATAGACAGGATGTGACCCAAATAATTATATAATAGAAATTATCAATAATTTACTTCTTTAACATTTCTAAGACCTGCAACAGTTGTTTTTCTATAAAGGTAATATAAAATTTAAAAATAATAATAATTAAAGAATTCTGAAATAAATAATTAAATAAATATGATAAATAAATATAATAAATAATAGTCATTTAAAATGTACATAATAAGAAAAGGACTTGTCTATAACTATGTGTGCACCAATATATACTATACAGGGTCAATATTTGAAAGAAAAGAAAATAATCACTTGTGCTATAAGCAAAAATCCCTATAGATCATGATGCTTTCCTAGGAACTCTATCTCCAAACTCAACTTGTCAGTTTATAAATCAGAGAACAGTAGGTCCTACAGTATGGAGGAATCAACTTTGGATGCACCAGGCAAAACCTCCATTCACTCACATAAGTAAAATTTGCTCTAAGCCAAAGAATGAGCCCCACTGTCCTCGGCCGCCACCCTTTCCCCTGCACCCTCACCCCGCACACCCAGCCCTCAAACGCTGCCTCCTAACTGTATCAAACCCTACAGTGCTGTGCCACATAGCCCCAAGAATGTTCTTGTCCTTTCCACTCCACTGAGCAAACTTTGACAGTTTTAAGATTCATTCCTCAAGGGGAAAGAGTCGTTATACCTCAATTAAATTTTATATATATATTTTTTAAGAAGGTAAGTACTGGCTAAGTCAAGAGTAGGGGGTAGTAATTGCCTCCAAAGAAGGAATGAGAAATTCTTTGGAGATGAGGAGGGGAGTTCAACATGTATCCTGATCTTGGGGTAGTTACAAAGGCATAGACTTAAGGAAATCTTCATTGAATTGTACATTTAAAATATGTTCACTGTACTGTACAAAGGTAATACAGCCAATAGAAATTAAAAAGAGGAAGTGTGTTCTCTTCTAAAGCAAAGGTACAAAGAGGCTTATCACCAATGATTGAATATACTTTAAAATATGATCAGGGCAGGGCCTCCCCTGGTGGTACAGTGGTTGAGCTCTGGGCTGCAAAGCTTCCTGCAACTTCTGCAGCGCCGGTTCGATCCCCGGCCACCAGCGAGGGTCCCACATGGCGCAACAGACTTCTCCTGTCGTGCCCACTGCTCCCCTCAGCAGTGTATTTCATCACTCTGCCTGTTCTGCTCTTTGCTCTGGCTCTGGTGAATCCTCTCACCCTCCCACACTTCTGACTATACCCAGTGCTTGTATAAATAAATAAATCTTTTAAAAAATATATATATATATGATCAGGGCTTTTCCTATATGACGTTTTTGTCCATACAATGAAGCAGAGGAAATCAACATGGGCAAAGATTGAGCCCCACATTTAAATATCAAAATTCACCCCTAGTAATAATTTTTTTTAATTTATCATTTTATAATTATTTTCAACAATATAATTCTTTACAATGTTACCATTCTTTTCAACACTCAGCACTAGGTGCTAGGAATATAAAGATGAATACAAAGTAATTTCTGACCTCAAGGAGATCAGAATGATAGGGAAGGCTGGGTACACAAAAGTGTGATGATAATACTTGAACTAGCAATTTTAGAGTGTATGGAAGTACAGAGGATGGGGGGAGGGTGCATTGGTATGGAAAGAAACTTCTAGAAATCACAGCTGAACTAAATCTTACAGGATGACTAGAACTGGCCAATAGAGGGGGAAAAAAGATGGGAAAGAGCATTTAAAGCACACAATGGTCTGCATGGACAGGGGACAAGGCAGTATATTTAAGTGCTGCTGGAATATGAGAGTGAAGATGAAGCTGGGGAAGCAAACCAGGCAGAAGTGAGACATTTTTATCATTCCCCAAAGGCGGGTAGGAAGTCAGGGGATATATCAGATGCAGGCTGAGGGAGTGCAGGGTGGCACATGTAGTGCATGGATCAGCAGGGACAAATGGGAGATCCTGGGCCCCTTGAACACCACTGTTTATGCCAGGCAAGAGGTGATGAGTCCTGGATTAAGCCAATAGTAGAGAGACAGAGTAGATATGCCATATTTAAGAAATAAAAATTGGCAGACGCTGGTGATTAATGGATGTGGCGATGAGGGGATTCTTGCTCAACTAGTTCTTCCGACAACTTCATTGGAGTTAGAGGAAAAACCTTGTTTTGTCCATTTTACAGATGTGTAACTGGGGCTCAAAAAAGCTCAAGGACTTACCAAGTTCAACTAGTAATTGAATGTCAGTCCCAGGGAACCTCAACACAGGGCTCTTTCCTGTTGTCCACATGCCCCACTTCCCTGCCAATGCCCATCCCCCCACCCTGCCCCACAGCCTCCTTTGCTGTGGAAAAGTCCTGAGTGTCCTCATCCCAGGAAGACATTATCCCTGAAAATATGAAACAGCACATGATAAGATACCTGTGAGCCTCTCTGGCATCCAGGTTCAATATTAATGGGCAGACTAACCCTTAAAGCTTGGGGTGAGATGCAAGGAGAGTCGACTTCCCATAGAACATTGGTACATATCTCATGCCCATGATATTTGGAATTAAATCTGTGTTTTCTAGCACTAGAATCTTTGGGCAAGTTACTTTGCTTGTCTGAGTCTATTTCCTCCTCTGTAAACTATTAGTTAGCATATCTTATCTCATAGCTAATAAAATAAATATTGAGATTATACTTTAAACATTCAACAAGTACCTACTATTCTTCTCATTACTGATACCACTACCCCCATCACCTCCTTGAAGGCCTCTTTAAACTTATTTCAAAAAGGACTTGTTATACTGTTTAAAAAATTAAAGGCAAGGGCTGGAATTAAGCTTTTGCAGAATCAGGCTCTCTAGGGAGTGAATGGCATTTGCCCCATGACCTATGAAATTTCTTGCACATTTGGCAAAGGTAGATTTTGTTGTCTCTGAAATTTGAACCTACGTGACAGAACCTTCAATGCCCATGTGATTGTTTGCATCTAAGTCCTCCGGTTTAGTAGCCAACAGTTTACTACCAAATTGAGTTCACATTTTGATTTGAGTTTCTGATTTTTAGCACTATCTTTAGTATAAAGTTTTACTCATCAGATAGCAACATCCGTAGCAGCAAATCATACATCACTGAATGTATGCTTGGGGTGAGGTAATAAAGTAATTGGAAAGTAAACTGAAAAAAGTCCAAAAGAAAAGGTGCTTTTGGACTTTTCAGTGCCACCTCATTTCTGTTACTTTCAGAACATAGAGAAACTACGACTCCTCTTTCTTTTATTCAGTCTCTATCCATACATAGACTTTGTGTACAAGTTTACGATCAAAGACCTTTAATGCAGTAACTAAAGTTGATACTTATACAAGCTACTAATTCTCATCCAAAACCAAAAGGCCATCCATGACTATAGGGACAGCTTCAGGAATTAATGGTCATAGAGAAATGGACAGAAGGAAGGAAGGCTCAGTAGCCAGTCAGATGTGAGGGAGGTGATAAGGAGGACAGGGTGAAGGGATATAGTACCTGAATATGTCTGGTGCAGGAAGAGGTCCTGTTTAGCACTGATCAGCCATGCTGTCTTGTGAACCATTGACCTTCAAAAGACAAAGTTGTGTTATGGAGGAAAATTATATCTAAGTGTGCATGTTTTAAATTCCCCATGAACTAACCTCTATAGTGACCTCCAGAACAACTGTATACTAGCTCATTTTGGGTGACTGGAGAAAGATACCAATGGGCAAATTTTGTTTTCTGACTTAGAAAATGTTTGTGTGGGATAACACCTACTTCACAGAATGTCACCATATTAAATAAAATTATGAATGTGAAAGGGTTTGGCACTGAACTGCTCTATAGCAGATACTCAATGCAATTTAATTTTATTCTTCCCCCAGTGGGGGTTGGGGATTAGGGGGAAGGGAAAAGGGAGGGAGGGTAAGAGAATGAATCTCCCTCCTATGAACTATATAACTCTCAGTAATGTGTCACTATCATCACAATGAATCAATATCAGCCAAACTGTGCACTGTAAATGAGAAAAGCACCTGAGAAAAGCACCTGAGAAAATAATACGGTTAAGACATGAATATATACAGAAATTTAGACTCCTAATTTATCTCTCATAGTTCTATGAAAACCGACCCCTCTCTATCTTGAAAAGGGGATTTCCTAGAACAGTACAATGCATTTCATGGAACTATATACTTTTATAAATTTATGGTATTATGAGACTACATAAGGGACTCTTGCAATTCTGTACCATCACCACACTGAAGCATGTATATTCAGTCAATATGAGTGTATAGTATACAATTATATTAACCCAAGTAAAAGAAATCAAGTGGGCACATGGGTTTCATTATTCTATTCCTTTGCATACATCTGAAATTTTCTATTATGGAAGGTTAAAAGAAATTAACAAGATGCGAGAGAAAGAAAGAGATAATATAAGATAAAGATGAATTTGTTTACTACCAGTTACTTACTTTCCTTTGTTAAATACTGAAAAACTAACATTCTGGGAACCTGCAACAAAAACAAAACAGCCATAACCAGAAACTCGCATGCATACACAGGCCAAGCACAGCTACCATAACCCCAAAAACTCCAGATATCACCAGGTTACCACCTAAGCCTGTAGTTTTCTCAGTGGTGCCCGAAATAAAAACATCTCCCAGTTTCACACCATCAGCAATATTGACTTCCAACAGCAAAAAAAAAAAACAAAAAAAAAAACCCCAAAAACAGTCACCCATAGCAGAAGCTTAGAGTTAGACTAGGCATGAAAAATCCTGCCACACTAGTTATAAACCTCAATTTTCTCACCTGGTAAAGCAAAATTAAGATCACCAAAGACACGGGTTTACTGCACGAATTAAGTTAGTATCAACTTAAGATGTCTCAGGAAGTTCTCAATAAATGATTATTATCATCATCATGAGAACCAATTTTTTACATAGTTTTCTTTTTCTAGACATAAAGAAAGAAATGGATAGGAGAGGACATTAAAATAATATTACTGAGTGCTATTGCATTGTGTGACTATACCACAGATTCTTGATCCACTTATCTGTTCAGGGACACTTAGGTTGTTTCCATAGCTTGGTTTATTGTAAATAGTGCTGCAATAAATACAGGGGCAAAAGTTGCCTTTAAAATTAGAGTTTGAAAAAAAAATTAAAAAATAAATAAAAATAAAATTAGAGTTTGAAAACAGGGTGACGAGAGAGCACAATGGACTGTGGTAGAGGATTGTGGGTACCTTGGTGGTGGGTATGGAACAGAGACTGCACCTGAAGGGGGAGATCTATACCTTCAAAATACTGAAAATAATGTAAACCAATGATATGACAATAAAATAAATATAAATAATGTTACTTCTTGAACAGACCAATGTAGTTGCCTTCCACACAGCACTGAAGAGTCCCAAGACCATGATCTTCCTGAATAGGATAGCTAGGGAGAGAAAAATATCTGAGGTGAGAAATACTAGACTCGGTTCAGAAGGTCTGACTCTTTAGCCAGGAAAGGCATATCCACCGGAGAAAACTGGTGATACTGTAGATATAATGAACTCATGGGACAAATGCTAGTACTAAACTAGAGTCATCCGCAGGACGTATGCTACAATCAAATACCGCAAGACACAAAATTTAACTTCTCCTCATAGCCATTCAGCCTGTCTTTGCAAAATCTGTTTTATCACAAGGATAGTAAAATCCTTATTTAAAAAAATCTAATATCAGGTGTGAACCCAAAAAGGACAATCTTAAGCAAACAAACTGAAAACACCAAGAAACTACATTATAGAATTTGGTTCTATTAATTGCTAGTCCCAAAGGCTGAGCCATAGAACATAACTCTTGTGATTGCCTCAAAGGAACTTAAATCCACTCAGTACAGAATAAAGTGAAAATTATACAAAATGTTGGTTATCTGAACTGTGTCCATGTACTCAGTTTTAAAAGCTTAGTTGCTAAAAACAAGTAAATAAATTTAGAGTTTTTTTCCTCTGGTTAATAATTATAACACAGTAGTTAAGAGTGTGAACTCTGAATGCTGGTTGGTCCACCAGGGTTCACATCTCAGCTCTACCATTAGCTCTTTGTAAGACTGCGGGCAAGTTACTTAACCCCTCTGTGCCTCAGTTTCCTCGCCTGGAAAGTGATTCTAATAATTGTAGATACTCACAAAGTTATTGGATGACTTTAATGTAAAGTGCTAAAACTGGCTTACTAGTAAGCATTTAGTATTACCTATTTGTTTTCAAGAAAGCTTTCCGAATTCACTTCCCTTTACACTTCAATCATTTATTATGCCTCTTCCAGTAAATCTAAAGATAAGACAGTCAATAGTTATCGGTGATTTATAATTTTAAAAAAGGGGTGTGTGTGTGTGTGTGTGTGTGTGTTACACTCATGTGAAAGAACCTAAAAGCGTATATGTTGGCAAGAAAGCTACTCACAGGCTGCCTGTCCTCCTGTTCACAAGAGAGCAGGGAGTGACCCATTTGTCTCCTTGAGCTTCCAAGATCAATGGGCTGCATGAAAAATGGAAACAAGAGACAATAGACAATGATAGTGAGATACTCTCAACAAACATTCCTGGCAAAACTCAGAAGAAAGGTTGTTACAATTTATGGGCATTACTGCAAGTGGCTGAAGCCTGCACCCTGAGATGTTGAGGTAAATTCTCAGCCTGAAGGTTGGGGTACAGTTTCATGGCGCATCCTTTCACACTTTTGAGGGAGCACGTCCCCTTTCCTGAAAAATCTTCATCTCCACATTGCCTATATTAAGTCTACACAAACCTATTGAGGAGTACATGCTTTTGTTTCCCCTTGCACCCCAGCCTAAGGCCGAGATGGGGCACATTGTGAGTATGGACTGTACTTGGGGCACCTGAGCCCAAAGGAAGAATAACTTCCTTTCAAGATAAGTTGACCATTGCTTAATGCCTGTAATTCCTGAGAAGAGTCAAGTCATGCTCTCTTTGAGTAGGGCAGAATCAATGAGATGCAATAGATCAGAGGAGAGAACCCCCAATCCTGTCCAGGGGGGCAAAGAGAAAAGACACATTGCATAGAAGCTACTCAGCTGAGCACATAGTAAGATTTTGTAGTTACTACCTTAAAATCCTCACAACCGCTTCATATGATGAATAATCACAGTTGCTTAGAGTTTCCTACAAACACCACAACTTCAACATGATCCCTCTTGTTCCTCTCCCTCCCGAGCTTGGACAAGGTCATTGTATCACTTTCTATTTAAAAAGTCTCCAGTGAAGAAAATCATATTGCTCATACACATCATCCCCAGAGAATTTTTTAAATTATGGACTATACAGAAACAACGTAAAAGTTCAGACAAAACCAAACCAAACCAAAATAAAAATTTGACTGTAAATCTGAATCGGGGTTGAGGTGGGGTGGTAGAAAGCTAAGTATGAAGGCGACACCTTGGACTATGGTGGAGGAATATGGGTGCTTTGGTGGTGGGTGTGGTGTGGGGACACATCTCTGAAGAGGTGTGAACTTACAACTCTGAATCACATACAGGGTGGTAAACCAATGTTACCACACTAACAGTTATAATAATAAACTCAGTGGTTTCAGTGCCTTTTCTGTCATTTTTTTCTCTGATCATGCTAATAGAATTTCTAAATGCCCAAGTGGATGATAAACAAGTGAACAAGGAAGTTACAATGGTCTTTTGGGTTCAAACACCTTTTTATAAAGAATCTTCTTCAGCCTGAGAAACAGAGGAAGAAAGGGAAAAAAATTTTAAAGAAAATCCACAGATGCAATTACAGTACAATTCACACTGAGCCCAAAGTGACTAGTTGTCAGTAAATAAATGGACCAACTTAATCGACCAGTCGCAATTACATTAACAAAGTTTGCTGAAGCCCAGCTCACCAGGGACCACAAACTGCAAAGAGGAAAACATCAGTTCTGTGCCAACTGCTTACAATTTATTGCTATCAGGGAAGCAACCCAGGAAGCAACCAGGAAGCAACCCAGCAGAGCTGTAACATGTCGAATACAGGCACAAACCCACGCTTACCTATCAATGTACTCAGCATCAAAATCAAAGGTTTCCAATTGTCCCGTAATAATCCAGCCATACACATGTATAACTTTTCCTGTTTAAAGAAAAATGTTTAAGTTTATTAATGTTTAAGTTTACCCCCCCCCTTTTCAAAAGTTGCACCATGTCATTTTGCCTTTATAAAACACTTATATTTGCACTGGTTTTCACTAACTGAAAGAAATCCAAAGAGGATTTCCCTTTTTACAACAAAAGATGAAAAGCAAAATAGCATTCAGTGCTGGCCACAGCTGTTCCAGAGGCAGCAGCACCCAGAGGAGTAAGAGTGACACCAACAACTCCTTCCCCAGGAACACTTCATACACACTGGGTCTTCATCACATCATTCCTGCTTTTCTATACATTAGTGCTATTTTAGGTTTTATGTGTTAGTTAGATTTGGGTAGTGTTTTTTGTTGGGGGGGAGGGGTTTGAGAATACTCAAAAAATGTTTCCATATAAATTAACAGTAATTGCTTCTTCATAACATTTTGATTTACAAAAGTTTCATAGGAACTCTCTACCATTTTATTTTGAGTACCCTACTTTTTTTCTTTTGACTATAAGGGAAAATATACTTAATTCAAAGTCTAAATATATAATGAACTGCATTTCTTTTTAGTTGCATTTATTCAGTGTGGTCAAGCCAATTATTACCGAGAATATTAATTATACATTTACATAAACTATACAACAGTAAACAATCACTCAGTAGGACATTGGGATCAACATTACATACCAAAAAGGCCAAAATAACCAATCATTGCAATCAAAGGATTAATCGTCTCTGTATGGAGCACAGAAAGACTAAGGGATCTTCTTCATGGTCTCATAAAGCATCAGGGGGAATAAACAGTTTCCTTACACTGCCTGTCCCTGTGTGTAGGTCCCTGTGCCTTGGGGGTGCTTCATGTTTCATTAGACTTTCCTTTGGACACTTGTTAATATGGATACAGAAGGAGGCGCATATCACATGATCTGGACGGATATTCAGGGATATTCGTCTTTTTTCCATATCTCAGAGTACAAAAGATAATGTCATGGATGACCCAATGGGACAAAAACAAAAGATAAAGGGCTCAAGAGAGCAATGGAGTTATGGCTTAAAGGATAGACAACAGACATTCATGCAACAAAATGTTTCTGTCAAAGACAAAGCAAATTGAGGGTCTGCGTGCGGTGGATGTCTGCTTTGCCCGCTAGTAAATGGATCAATTCAGCTGCTGGGGCTCCTCAATATGACTTGTAGGAATTTTCACTGGATAGTAAGTTTTTCCTTAATACCCCACCTCTGATGAGGTCAAAAGGATGGGGTGCAAGAATCAGCAACCTCTTTCAGCAAGGTGCACTCAAGATACTACCTGCCCTGGGCATTGGGAAAGGAATCTGAAGTGACTTCTTCTCAGGAAGAGTTTGGGGCCTAACAGATGCTACATCAGTAATTTCCCCCAGAGTTGGAAAACATCTGAACTCAGTTTGAGGAACTGCATGAGACAAGATTTCAAGCAAACACACCATCCCTACGTGATGCAGCCAAAGTTCATCACACAGTCCCACAACCTGGAAACGTGTGCCTTCCAAATACTTAGGGAATTCAACCATCTACGCTGTAATCTTCGAGCGTCACAATACTGGGAGGTGAGAGAGATGCTGGTTAATAAGGTAAAACCTCAAAAATGGAAAAGCAAAAGATACCTCTGGGGCCCAGAAGGTCACTGAAGTCAGAGGACTATGAGCCCCTCCATGACCACACTTAGGACAACAAAAAATCATTCAGGGAAGGTTTTCCCTTCACACTGCACTTGTGTTCTATAAACGTGAAGTGACTATCCTAACTGCGTGTAACCATCCACCAATGGTAGCAAGTTTTAGCTTAATGCTCTTCTCTTTTGAGGTCATAAGAATGAGGGTGCAAGCATCAAACACCTGAGACCTCCCAGGAAGTATGATGGGCACTTTACAGGTGAATGGGTAGGAAGAGAAAGAACCTGATGCCTTAGACAAAGGTCAAAAAATGGGGAAAATCTAGATTTGCAAGTTCTTTACTTCTGCTAACACTGGAGAAATAAGCCCCCTTCATATTAGTAGAGCTAACTTATCAATTCCCTGACTTTGGGGAGCATAACTTCTAGCATTGATGAGCACAATTTTAAAATCAATAACAGATTACAGACACCAGGAATCCCTGTGAGTTTTCGTTTTATTTCTAAACAAAGAAGCCTGACAGAGGCTGATGAATGGCTATGCCAGACCTTGGTGCCAGGGGATCCCTCTTCACAGTGGGGGGCCGTGAACCACATCTAGACATTCAGCTGCTCTTAAAATGTCAGCTCCCCTGTCCCCACCACCTCCCCTGTCTCCCTGGCTGCCACACTGGGCAGGCTTCCTAAATGAAATCAGAGTAATCGCCTGAAAAGTGATTTCAAGATGCAGCTGTGTGGATCCTGCCCTGAGGGACCACTGCAACCAGGCTAACCCCCATAGTTCCCCCAGAAGCTGGAGGAGACACTGCACAGAACTCAGACCTGGTGGGGAAACAGGCTTGGCTTATCTGGGTGCCGGCTGGCATCCCACCTCACACCTCTCATGGCTGGCTCCTTCCCACCCCTCACTCAAACAAGACTCTTGCCTTCTAAACAGGAGCTTTCTAACACCCAAGCAGCAGGAATCTAAATATCAGCATGAGGTTTTCATACACCACATCTTTTATTTAATAAAGCATGATCACATCTTGATTATTTCAACAAATGGAAAGGAACAGATCTGTGAACAACCCACACTAAGATAATGCCAGATTCATTTGTTCAGGATACAATTTAATTATACACACACACACACACACACACACACACACACACACACACAATGTCCAAATACTTTTCAGAAAGTCAGTTATTCATTTTGACATTCTTAATGCATTTAGACACAACCACATATAAAAACTTAGCAACAAGTATTCCCACATTTATACCATCCTAGAAATTCTGAGTAAATGAAAAATCTGAAAGAGATGTAGGAATTTCCAGAGAATAGAACAGCAATAATCCTAGCTGTGTTTACTGCTTAGTCTTAAGGTAGATTTAGCAGCTCCTGAATCTACATGTTAGCTGCAATCTCTTCTCCTTTTATATAACTCCCACAACTCTTTCTTCTCTTCTGCACTCTTGGCCATCACATGTCTGTGTGCTCTCTAACTCATAAACAAATGGCCAGGATAAGGCCCAGAATGAATGGCTTCCCAAGTGGCATCCAACACTACTCCATCCAGGACAAAATGTGTGGTGAATGACCCTCTCTGGATTCTGGCTCTCTGCTTTCAAATCTCAGTTATACTATTTATTAGCAATATAACAAAGTTGAATAAGTTGCTTCGCCTTTTGGAATCTCATTTCCTCATCTGCAAAATGAGGATAATAATCACTCCTGTATTATCAGGTTTTTGAGGCTCTAATAAGATAATATATGTCAATAGCTTAGAACAGAACCTGGATCCAGTGAGGTTCCATCTAAGTTATTAGATGGATGACTACAAAGTTCAGAGCAATAATAGCTTCTGTTTCCTCCATTCTCAGACAGCCCCTGACTTGATTTTGCTGGCCTCTTTCTTGAATTCCTTTTGTTATCAGTGAAGAAACAGAGCACAAGTGCCCAGAGGTGAAACCAAACCATCATAGAAATGAACAGGAGGTTGAGACTTATTTTCAAATCAGCATCAGGGAAGAAGCTTAAAGGTTCCACTCACCTGTTAAGAAAAGTCTGCAATAGGCTTTGACAAATAGATTCCTAATCCCATTTGAATAGGAGATCTTACCTGGAACTCCACTTGGGGGGTTAACCTGGTAAACAATGGGAGTCTCTGCCCTGGAAAACTGTCAAGAAAATGTCACCATGAAAGAGCATTTTATTAGAATATCACAACTACAAACACAAGTCCAGTTCTTCTCCTAGAGCATTTGTCTACAGTAGTCAAATCACCTCTACATTTATTTCTTATCTCCATAACATTTCTGTGAAGCAGAAGTGACATTTATTATGTTCTTCCATAGAGGAGGTAAAGAAAATTTATGGAAGGTCATCCAGCTCTTTATTCTGCATCTTACCCAAACCTTGGACAGCCTGTTTCTACCTGCCTACCTCCACACCTAGGAGCACATTTTACCAGAAGGAACAAGAAGTAGGCCATGCTTTAGAATAATAACTTTTCATTCCATTATTATAACTTGATAGCTTCAGGTCTTGAATTTTTATTTTTTTATTCCTGGACAAGAATTGGTTTATCTGAATGGAAGGAACTACAAATTAAATTATGATCAGTCAGCACTTTGGTTTGGATTAACCAGCTAAGAAAAAATGGAAGTTGGGTATTTTTTGGGAAACTGGAAGATGACTATTGGGAGGAAAAAGATTCAAGGAATGGGAAGCAACATTACCCTTCAAATAAGGATGAAAAAAAGGCACTGATGAGCGAAAAGGGAGCATGTGAAAGCCTGCTTGCTCATGGCCCTCCAAATGATCTTGCAATGTCCCCTCCCCAGATTCACATCATCTGCTAAATAAAACTCCAGAAAGGCAGAGATAATGCCTGATTTGGGTATTGTATCCTTGTGCCAACCTGCTACACAGGAAACATTTTGTGAATGGAGTGGTCCCGCCTGAGATGAAGGATATAGTGCCTGGAAGCAGAGGGGAGAATTAGACAGTTTCAGGAATCCCACCTCATCAATAAGCATCCAGTTCCACCAAGATTAGTGGCCTTGACAGTTAAAGTGAAGAAACAGAGAAACTTAAGAATGAACTGACCAGGCCAAGATTTGAGTCCTGAGCTAATGACTCATGGAAGAAGAGCATCCCTCCTGTTTCTTCACCCCCAACCTCCTCTAGAAACCTAGACTGCCTTCATTCTCTACCACCTAGGGTGCTTGTCATTTACAAAACAAATGACAGCAAATTGATTTTCTTGGTCTGCTTCTAGCAGCACCCCAGGAGTCAAGCCTCCCAGGAAGATCACCAAAATATAACCAGGTTGTTAATCAACAGCCCTAAGCAGACATGGAGAATCAATGAATGTGTCAACAAAGCTGGTGGCAGTTCAGCAAGAGGAGGTTTTAAGTATTGACCCATAGGGGCTGACAGTCTGCCATTAAGGTTATTTTCCTCCTAAAGTTAAGGGCTATAAAAACAGTTCACAGAAAATATGTACGGTCAGGGGGTCAAAAGTGGAATGCTATGACCTCACTGGCTGGGAGCTAGCTCAGATCTCACTACAAGATAAATATTAATGAAATTCCACATACACCTGCCAAACCATCGCCACCCCCACCTCTGATCCTCCTACTGCCTTTCACCATCCCAGGACCCTTTTTACACCACTGGCATTTCCAGTGGAACTTTATCATTGGCACCTCATGAAGTGGAGAGTGTCATAGCCCTTTCTCACAAATGAGAAAATGAGAGAGCTGGAACAACAAAGTCCAAATCAAATAAGGAAACATACCTCTTGGTTTCCAAATTGAAATATAAGATCTACTACTACTCAGTCTGTGAGCCTTTCACCAGAAGTATAGGGGGAATAAGGACACCCCCTTATTATGCCCTCAATTCCTCAGTGAGTAGTGGGGCAGGTTCACTCAAAAAGAGCTTCACATGTGATTCTCTGAGCTGACACAACATAAAATGGTACATTTCTAAGAGAAACAAGTCTCTGGTCACCCACCAAGCTAGAGACATGACAAAGTGAAAAATTAATGAGCTTCTGAAACAAGCTTCCCACATGCTGCTCCTTGAGCTCAAGTGAGGTCAGCAGCAGCAAGATGAGGAAGAAGAGGAGCCGAAGATTAGAATGATGCAGCCACAGCCACCAGCTGCTTGATAACCCTGAGAGACGCTCAGACTTGTCAGTGCCTGCAGCAGGCTCTTTGGAGTGGACTGGGGAGATGGAATTAATTTTTAATACTCATGGATCCCCCAGTCCCAGTCCCAAAACAAAGAGACACACTGTATTTTATTTAGCTTGGAATACCTCTCATTAACTGCAACCCCTGGTGATTTTTCATCAACTCACCAAGCTAGTTGAACCAGTGAAGGACTTGTTTTCTTTAATGTGCAATTTTAGGAAGTATTCCTCTTCTTTCCCTGCCCTCTCTTTTCCCATCATTAATAAGAAAACTACTCTCCGGAGTGAAAGGAACATGAACCAAAACCAGCATGGAGCTTAAGGCGCATGCGCTGTCACCTCTAGTTACATTCACTGAGGCCTTGTAGGGGCTGGAGTCAGGTCTTAACAAGAAAGAATGCTTTTTTTTTCCTTTCTGCTGTGTATATACAAAAGCAAAATTCCCGAAAAGAAGATACTCTTAAATTAAGAAACAAGCAATTTGAAATTTGAAAAATATACTGCCTATGTAAAACGTGGAGCGTATTAGAGATGAATCTGAAGTCTGTTCTAAAGGAGCTTTAATTAATGACTTGATTGTGCTCTTGTGGAAAGTTCAAACATCCTTTGGGAAATACAACCAAGTCAAAAAACACTGCCAAATCTCTGCCTTTTATAAAAAGTCTTTGATCTGCCCTTTCAGAAATCCTTTCAGGGTAAAACTAAACTGAAATGGACAGTGGACTGAACCAAATATAAAATTAAACCCTGGTATGCATATCGAGGCTCTAAAATAAGTCAGGCATTGGCTCATAAACTCTCTTTCTCTGCTCCCTTTTGCTCTATCTGAGTTTGAAGGAGAATTCCACCAGCAAATATCCTTTCAATCTGGGGTTGGAAAGAGTAACAGAAATCAACTGTGAAGCAGAGAGGAAGGTGGAAGTGTGTCCCTGAGTTCCTTCACCACACTGAGACTTGGGATCCTCTCAGTTATAAAATGAAATGCACATGGCAATATCTGTGGCTCCTCTGTGGGATTCAGTTTGGGCAGTGTTTAAGTCCTGGTTCCACTATTTACTACCTGGAAGACATGGGCAAGTTATTTAATCTCCATGAGCCTCAGGTTGCTCATCTATAAAAACACGATTATAAAAAGCTACCCCACAAGATAGTTATGAACAGAATATGCATAAAGCACTTAGCTAGAACCTGACATGTAAATGCTTAATAATTACCTTTCTTTACTATAGCCTCAGAAACCCCAACTACCACCCACCTTTCCTCTTACCCTGGCAAAGCAGACTCTGACTGATTTATAACTCTCTTGTTGATAACACCAGAACACCCTCAGACCAGATGGACACACATTTCTCCACCCTCAGAACTCACCTTGAAAGTACAATTGTCTTGTGGTCCTGGGCATGGGCTGCCTATCACCTGCTTCCCAGAAAGCACTTGCAGGTAGTACTGACCCTCATGTGCTTCGGACAACAGAGATCTAACAGCAGAAAGTAGAAATCCTTGTGAATCAAAATCAGGAATAGCTGAGCTAGGAAGCCTACTTGACCACTTCGAATTCCTTCCCTGCTTGTGTGAAACAAAACTAACCAAGCATTCCTATATTTAGCATTTCACCTCTTAAAAACACTCACTTGAAAGATTATATCCTTCAGCAAGAGAAGTTAATGATTTTGCAATTGAAAATTCCTAAAATTAATTTTTTCTGTGGGTTTTTTTTTTTTTTTTTGGTTTGTTTATTTATTTATTTATTTATTTATTTATTTATACAAGCACTGGGTACAGTCAGAAGCATGGGAGGGTGAGAGAATTCACCAGAGCTAGAGCAGGGAGCGAACAGGCAGAAGGACCGAAGTACATTGCTGAGGGAGAGGTCTGCGCGCCATGTGGGACCCTCGCCTGGTGGCCGGGGATCGAACTGGCGCTGCAGAGGCTGCAGGAAACTTCGCAACCCAGAGCTCAACTGCTGCGCCACCGGGGAGGCCCTTCCTAAAATTAAATTTTAAAATTCTGTCCTATTTCTCAGAATCATAGGTTCACAGGTCTTTAAGAGTTGGGAGAGACTCTCATAGATTATCTCATCCTATATTTCATTTTTTAGAAAAATGACAGATTTTAATAGACTAAGAGAAACATGTGTATGAACATCACAGTTTAAGGGCAAAGTAGGACTTGAATCCTAGGCTCTTGATAAAAGGCATTGGTTTTCTTTATTTCCCCCAAAAAAATTCTTCACTTTGCAATCATATAGGTAGCCTATAAATAGTCAAAAGAGTCCTAGACTCTCCCATCTTTTTTTTTTAACAAATATTACCATGACTTCTTTGTCTTTTTGAGGCTGCCATTCATTTTGATGTTTATAAGAGAAGTAATATGATGAGTAAGGAGCTAGATTAAAGACTGCCTCCCCCAAACCTCATCAAAATCACTGGTATAATCCTAAATATTTAAATCTACACCATCCAATGTGTTAATCACTAGCCACATGTGGTTACTGGCACTGGAAATGTGACATGTCCTAATTAGAAATCCTATGTGTAATATACATATTGGGTTTGAAGCCTTGAGCAGCAAAAAGAAGATAATATATCTCAGTAATTTGTATATTGATTACATTTTTAAATGATAACATTTTGGATACTTTGGGTTAAGTAAGATGTTGTTAAAATAAATCTTACCTGTCTCGATTGACTTTTAATGTGGTTATTAGAAAATCTTAAAATACATTCATTTTGTCTGGGTAATATTGAGTTAGATGCTACAATGGCTGTTTTGCCAAAAGCAGACCTAGCTTTTTAAGATAATGAGTATAACACTATTTCATTGCTAATGTACATTTTTCCACAATTAAATGTTAATTGAATTTGATATTCATCTTCCAGTCAATGAGCACATTTATGAGGGTAGTATTTCTTTTTCTTCATAAGATGATATAAAACCAAAGATGCAGCATAAAAGCATTATTATATTGGGACTGAGGATATAGAACATGAAAACTTCAGGGCTTTGGCTTGTTTCATGACAAGGAACTCTATGCTCAAATATTATTCCATAAAACCTAAAGAAAATATATGACCCAATTGTAAAACCAATAGTAGTACTATAAGGAAGCTCAATTTAACTGACACTTATGAACATCTTCTACTTGCAAGATATCTGTGGGTCAAACACATTTTCTGTCCACAAAGCACTTAATTCTATAAGGATAAATCTGACAAGTGAGCAGCTGACACAAGTGTTATGAGAAACAAAGGGCTGAGGAAACAGGTCACTACAGCTACACATGCTATACTGTGTAAATCACACAGAGGTTTTCCCTTTTGATGAATGCACATAAAAAAGTGTGTGTTTACATGATGCGTGAATGTGCTTATAATGCACATACACCTTATGGATGAATTACTGAAAAGTGATTCTCAAAGCTATTGCAATTACAGCCTGGACTTCAGCTCCTACTCAACCCTATTTCAAAAAAAGAGAAAAGGCCTCCCTGGTGGCACAAGGGGTTAACACGCAACCTATGAAGCTATCCGCAGCCACTGCAGCATGAGTTCGATCCCTGGCCAGGGAGCTACCCACATGGCGCAGCAGACCTCTCCTGACTTGCCCGCTGCTCCCCTCAGCAGTTGATCTGCCTGTTCTGTTCCCCAATCTGTCTCTGGCGAATCCTCTCACCCCCCGCATCTCTGGCCTGTGCCCCAGTTCTTGTACACATGGATAAATAAAGCTTTAAACAAAAAGAAAGAGAAAGATTACACTCAGTTGGATATTCAGGGGAAAGTGTCATTTGCAATATAGTTGGTTAGGATTCACATAGGCAGAGATGAGGGAGAGGGAGTCTTCCTGAAAAAGGGAGCTGAGAATAAAAGGAAACAGGGCTGCTCCCCGGCCACCAGAGGAGGGTCCCACATGGCGCGCAGACCTCTCCTGCCGCCCGCTGCTCCCCTCAGCAGTGTACTTCGGTCCTTCTGCCTGCTCTGCTCCCCGCTCTGGCTCTGGTGAATTCTCTCGCCCTCCCGCGCTTCTGACTGTACCCAGTGCATGTATAAACAAAACAAACAAACCAGAAAACAAATAAATAAAGCATGCCTCTATAAAAAAAAAAAAAAAAGGAAACAGTAATATTTTTCCTCTCTTAGCCAATGACTCCCTTTCATGCAGCATCTCTAAGACATGAGTAGTGAATGAACCAGTACAGACTTCATAAACCAACACAAACTGGTATAGGACAACAGATTACCTAAAATCCCATAGAGACCACCTCAATCTCAGCCAATTGAAGACTGGCTTTACACTGGTTATGTATTTTTGCACAATCACTACAATTATACCTATTTCAACAGATGAGTTCTTTAGATGACAAAATGGTACCACTTATTAAAATTTTAAGTCATAGGATTCATTGCAAAAAAAAACTGGAATATAATCCAGACCCTCCTTATAAGTATCTCAAAATTCTTCCCCTAGTCTCATCCTCCCTTGAGCCCTGATGAGGACATTTTAAGAGGCATATTCACAAGGAACATTTTTTAAAACTCTATCTGGTAAATGCAGTCGCAGCAGGAGTTGCTCTAATTTGCCACCAAGAACTATAGAAACAAGCCCAGCACTCATCCTGTCTGGTCTTCTCATTCCTGGGCAGGCAGGCGTACCTGGTCCTGCACATCACCACTGGCAAATCCAAGAAGACTGGAGAAATGTCACAGGGGACACTTGGCAGCTCAGGCAGAGCCACATTCACCAGGTGTATCTCCAACTGAGAGCCATTGTCAGGATAAAGCAGACCAGACTCCAAACCTAAACCCAAGAGAAAGGAGAATCAGAGTTGTAAAGATAATGTATTTACAAAATAATGGAATAATGTATTTATAAGATAATGTAAATATATGGCCACATGAGGGCAATGTTTTTGCCTAAGGAATAAGTTAATATTCCTCATTTCCAAAGGCATTGATGACTGCTATCTAAATGAATGCTCTGATAAGTTTATTAATAAAAATTTTCTCTTCAGGTCCATTCACATTAATCCCAGAGAGAAATTTTCAACCCTCAAAGTTATTCTTTACCATAGTACAGATAGATGTATTTGCGAGGGTGATGGACCTCACACATAGAATTATCTTCAAGGAAGATAATCAAGATTCTAGGAGAGGCGTATCAAATATTATGCTACACACACTTCCATATGTCTCATGCAGGGTTCCTAGAGCTCCACCTCAACGTGTGGGATAGGAAATGACACAGACACATAGTGGTGTGAAGTGCCCTACTTCTGTAGGGCACTAAAGAATTAACAAGAGAGCATCTAGAAAGCCAAAGTGGTGAAATGGTCCCTCTCCCTACAGGTCATCTTTTACACCAGTCCTTAAACAATGAAGAAAACCAAAAGCTCATATTAGGTGTCTTTAGATCAACAAATAAGAACTTTGCATTTGGAAAGACCCAAACTTACCATCTAGCATGACTGTAATCCACGTTCCCCCGGCAAGGCTACCTTCTTTGGGTTCAATGTGGAAGCTCAGACAAAGCTCTGCAAATAAAAGGAGAAAATATTACATTAATTGTGAAGGTCATATTTTATCCACCAGCTTCCCAGATGTTATGAAGGAAAACTGGTGTTTATCAGCAGCCAGGAAGGCTTGACAAAGCAGTTTGTGGGCACCCCACTATCAGAGTAATTGATTGAGTAGATCTGGGGTGGGCCCAAAGAATATAAAATTCTTGCCAGCTACTGCTACTTCTACTGGTCTAGGGACCACACCTGCAAAATTCCCATTTTAAGGAAGGTTCTAACTGAGCCTTTTATCTTAGGTATCCCAAAACCCAGTGTTTACAAGAAAAATTCTGAATGTCTACTTGGAAAGGGCCTCAAAGACATTTGATTCCTAATTGAACCCATATCTCTTATCTCTCTCCCACTCTTTAATCTGGTGGTCATATTTAATTATAAAGCTACCACTTAATTATTGTATTTCCACTTTCTAGAGAGGAAGAGAAAATTTTAGAACCTTATTTCAATCTTCCTGCTCAGTTTACCATATTCTAATTTCCCCCCCTTTGAATACATGATCAGAATAATTTCCCAAATAGATACAAAATTCTTTAGAGTTTTGCCTTCCCTGCTTAGAGAGGGACTCAAGTATAGAGGAGTGCCAAAATTGCTTTTTTTTAAATAAAAGATGGTATAGACTTCACAGGCCAGACTAAAGAAAGTTTCTGTCATTGACTCCATCAGCTAAGCATGAGCTTAGTCAATACCTCCACCTTTGAAGATGTTACTGAACATGCCTTGGCCAAGGTAAAAGCAATTTAAAGAAATTAGCAAAAATCAGTCAACAACTCATGAGGTCATAAACAAAAAAAGTGTTACCTACAGAACACACTGCAGTTTATATGTCATAAAGGTTAAAGGATAAACCAGATCACACTAATTGCACTAGCTCAGGGCTCACATGTACAGCTGAGTAGGGAGAGCACTGCACAAGCAAGGGTGTGGAGAATCATTCACATCTATACAACCATTCATGGCAGCTCCAGCCATATCAGTCCACACTTCTACCTTAAATGTGCATTAGATAATTCTACCCAAAGAAAACTAAAACAAATGCCATAAAACAATACAGAGGACAATCACAGAGGAAAGGAGATTTTAATACCTGTAGTCATTAATTGCTAAGACACAGTAAATTACTTCTTTGAGAAGTTAAAGTTAAAAATCTTTTAAAAATTAAATTATGTGGCTCAAAAAGAAATTATGAAATGAATGTTATCAAGTTGTAATTAAAAGCTCTAGACTCTAACAGCAATCTCCACTGGCCAATAAAAATTAACATACGTATTCACAACTATTTAATAGAACCTGAACTATTAAACAGAAAAAAAAAGATCAAGCATAGAAAATTGATTTTTGATTCCTAATTGAACCCATATCTCTTATCTCTCTCCCACTCTTTAATCTGGTGGTCATATTTAATTATAAAGCTACCACTTAATTATTGTATTTCCACTTTCTAGAGAGGAAGAGAAAATTTTAGAACCTTATTTCAAATTCAAATTCAAAGCAGATACTTTGACACTCCCCCCCAGTAATATTCTAAGTACCCCAATGAGCTAGTTCTTAACATAACCTGTTGTTTTCCATTTATGCCTTCAGAATACACGCAACTCACTTGACAAAAGTAGTATTTCCATACTTATGAGAGAGATCAGACACACAGACATCTTGTCCACTCAGTCTTCTCAAAATTGTTCAGACATGAAAAGCATTTTCAGTTTTGATTGGAGAAGTATAGCTTTTGTGTTTAAAAAAAAAAAGACAATTTACTATCATTTTTTTGCATGCATACTATAACTTTGCTCTGTAAAAACTTGAAAAAATAAGGACATAATACCAACCTGCTCCTAGAGTCTTCAAAGGGACCCACCTTCTTCCTAAGCTGGAGAGAAAAAGATTATCTAAAAATCTTAAACTCATTAATTCAACCCCTTATCCCACCAATTTATTTTATGCCTGTTTAAATGAACTCACTATTAAACAAAAGCAGAATTTTTATTTTTTTAATCTTTTATTTATTTTCTTACATCTTTGTTAATTTTGGGATAGTATTTAATTTCTTCCCTCTGGTGTGGTCCCTGTAGTTCTCTCAACACCATAGGCCCATGACCCATCACCACAGTCCCTTGTGCTCTTCCCTGCCCTGTTTTGACCCTGTCCCTTTCCCTCCCTTGCTTTATATCTTAGATCTAAAGTCAGCTTGCAAGCTTTGTCTTTCTTTCCCTTGACTCTTTGTTTCGGATGTCTACATTCCACATATAAGTGAATGTATGACCATTCAATATTTATCCAAAAGCTGAATTTTTAAAACTAAAAATTATAAATAACAAAATACTAATTAATGGTGGTTGGAGGGGAGGGGAGGAGTAAGGGGGAGGTTGTTTCCTTTTGTTTTGTTTCAGAAGTTTCAATCCTCCAGGAACCAACCAACATAAAAAAGTAAAGAATTTAACAAAGTAAATGTTAAATATGCTAATAGATTGAAAAAAGTGTTACTAACAAGAATGTGGGGAAATTTTCTTAACCCAAAAGAGAAAGGAAGGAGAAAAGCAGCTGCTGGCAAAGCTGGGCCCTCAAAGGGTCACAGACCATCCTACAGGGAATGTCTGCCAAACCCACTTTTTTAATCACTGCCCTCACTGTGCCAATTCAAAGCAGAAACATCAGGCTTTGTGAAATAAGTTCGTTAAAGATTTTATCAAGGTTAACTGAGATGATACAGTGAAGAAATTAGCTTGGCACAGAGGAGTCTCCCCACAGATGTTCCACTCCCTTTCTCAGATGCTCTATTTCCAATGCAAAGGCCTCTCTGACTTTTAAACCCTTCCACCACTGCCCCTCACCTCCCCAACCTTCCCGCATTGCTCTCTAACATGAGCCCCACGCTACAGTGGGCTACTCTCCCCATCCGGTATCAGACAAGCCTTGGCCTTGGCTCCTGCTGATCACTCTGGGATCCCTCCAACTCCCCAGGGGCCTGATGAAATCCTTGCCATGCTTCAGGGCCCAGCTCAGCATCGTCGTCAACTCCATGGAACCCACCCCCAGAATGGGTTCCATGAACTGGCTCGGGAGGTCAAAAAAGGATGGAAGAAAGAGACCAGCTACTCCAGGATGGCAGGGGCAGGTTTGATAGGTGAGAACACTTACATGCGAGGCTTGTCTTTTAAAGCCTTATGACAAGGAGCTCTCCCAGCCCATCTGAAGTTTCTAGAGGCAGTCACTGGGCTCAGTCACTTCTACCATACGGACAGCCTTAGCTGTCGTTGCACTCACAAGCTGTGTCCTTGAAAATGGTTCCCACTGATGGCAGAAGTACAATTCAAGGACAGGGGAAGGGTTGAGGAGCTTCCTGTTACCCAGCTCAAGGGTCAACCAGAGTTCACACCCTCTCCAAGACCTCCTCCACCCCCCACCCAGCCATCCAGATTCTTATCTCCCTGTAGTGGCAGAATGGCCCAGAGCAGGTTTTCTATGATTCAAGCAGACCAGGTCAAGGAGAGTCCTGGAGCCCTCGGTGGCTTTCTCAGGTTTTTATTGAGCTTTTACATGTAGTGCAGCAACGAGGTACACGGCAGGCAGGGGTGCCAGCAGGCCTCCAAGCCCCTGGCAAGTCTTCACCCTGGGTTTCTCTGGCATTCTTTCTCCCCTTCTCTCTCCTGGTTCTTGTCCTGCCTCTGCTTCTCTTGGCGAGTATCTCAATACTGAGCCATGGCCCACAGAAGTAAATAAAACTTATAAAATGTAACAAACATATGCAATCCTAATGTTATAGGACAGGGAGAAGGGCAGCCCAAACCCCGCAATGGTGAGAGAGCAGAAAAGCCTGAAAATCATTTACCCTATACCCCCTTTCTCCCTGAACCTCCAGTTTTTGTCTTCCTTGCCTGACAAGGCAGTGCCATGTATGTCTATTCTTGTCTATTTCCATTCCCCAAAGGAATCCAGGGACTGGTCTTGTATTTTACAACCCTCTTAGTACAAAGGGGCCTCTAGGTGCTCAGAAAATTATACTTGGTGAACACAAATTTAAATAATCTGAACCTGGTTTTACCTAATCTGAAAGGAAATGGTTTTCATACATGTGGAATGGGCAGAATCCAGGCAGCGTGGTTAAAAGGCTGCATAGCCTCCACAACACCCTGATGGCTGCCGGACAAAGACTTCTGAGCTACTGACACCCCTACTCACAGCGCACAGACACAATCTTCTGAAAATTACTAACTTGGGAATTTTCTAAAAGTTAAAAAAATACAGAATTAAATATAAATATGTATATGAGTATGTGTGTAAATACACCTTTATCTTTTTAAGAAAACACTGAGGCTAGAAATTAACTGTACCACTTCCAAAAATATAAAGCTACAATAAACTCCCAGAAAAAAAATCTCTGCAAAAAACGTAGAATAAATTTATCTTACAGATATGTCCTGATTCAGATAATCTGATATATAAAATTACCAATATTTAAAAAAAAATTCAATATGCCCATTCACTCCTGGGCACTGTATGAGGAATTGGGAAAGCAGAAATTAATCTGTATTTGCCTTTAAATCCAAGCAGATGGGGTAGAGATGACAGATACTTGCCTTTACGAAAGGAGCTCTAAAATTTCTAAATGAATTCAGCAAGTATTCAAGTTGCAAATTTCCCTACATTTTACATTCTATTTGGAATAGAATTTCATTTGAAAACATTTCAACTCTCAGAAATGCATAGAGAAAGGAGTGTTTGCTGTTTGGTGCAAAGGCGTGGGATCCGACTTGCTCCTGACACCCAACAGAAGGCCTCAGCATGGAGTCTGCATTACCTGGCTGCATAATCTTAACATTCATTTCAGGGCCTGCCCCCAAGCTTGGAACAGTGGAAGTATACATGCACCTTGCTTTTCTTGAGCCCTATGTCTAGACCACCCCCCCTTTTTTTTCTATAATAGAGCAATCCAATCAAAAACAAATGCAGTTTTCCTTAATATGATTACTTTTCTAATTCTTCCTAAGAACAAACTCAGCCTCCACTTCATTCTTAAACCAGAAAATTTTCAGCCACAGAAGACCTGTACGCTGTTCTCTCTCCTCTAGATTCTTTTCTCCCGGCTCTCATTTCTCCTCTCCCTCTTTCCCTCCCTCCCTGTCAACAACATCCCCTCCTTTGGGACTTTGAGACAGAGCTGCAAGCTTGTTTCTCTATAGCCCACTTTAGTTCAGGAGACAGTGGCAAGAGATGCAATACCTGACAAACAAAGTAGAGATATTTCTAAATCCAACAGTACCTTTTTCTGTTTCAGTCTTGCTGTGACTTGAGGGAGAAATTATTTTTCCTTTCTAAATAATCTTGTTCCTCTCCGCCAGGAACCAGTGACCGTGTTATCTGGTTAGATCCCAGCCTGCAGCTACCCAGCAGGTAACTTACTCATGTTGCGCTATAACTCACCTAACTCAAGTATGTCCCAGCTAAAGGTGCTGCAAAGTAAAAGTTCAGAGCTGACCACAGGGCAAGTTTAATGATTAACACCAGCTACTTCAGTTTTTTCCCCAGGATCTTTTATTAACGACCAAAGAGAGAGTGTCTTATATTTTTACTACAAGTGCCCAGACAGGAATTTTAAGCATTAGTCCACCCAGTAGAAGACCAACAGGCATTCAATGATTAAAAGAATTTGCCAACAAGTCAGTGACTGATCACAGTGCCCAGGAAAAAAGGGCCACTAGAGGGCAGATCCCCATGAGAATTATTGGCTTTTCAAGGGGAATCAGGCCTGAATGCCCTTTGTGGACTGTTGTCACTGCAGAAATGTAGGTCTAAGAAACAGAAAAAGGAAGGGACTAATTCTAAGAATTGCTAAGAAAGGACCAATGAGTCCTCCTTGATTTTCTTCTTTCCTCCCTTCCTCTGGACCTTGCTTTCTTCTTTTTTTTTTTTTTTTTTTTTTTTTAAGGCATGTTTTATTTATTTATTTATTTGTTTGTTCGTTTATACATGCACTGGGTACAGTCAGAAGCACGGGAGGGCGAGAGAATTCACCAGAGCCAGAGCAGGGGCAGAGCAGGCAGAAGGACCGAAGTACACTGCTGAGGGGAGCAGCGGGCGGCAGGAGAGGTCTGCGCGCCATGTGGGACCCTCCTCCGGTGGCCGGGGAGCAGCCGGGGATCGAACCGGCGCGGCAGAGGCCGCGGGCAGCTTCGCAACCCAGCGCTCAACCGCTGCGCCACCGGGGAAGCCCAGGACCTTGCTTTCTTAACCAAGAAGTCCTTGACTTGTGGCATCACCTAGGAGACCCAGACTATGGGTCTCACTCATTGGTTTGACTCTCTTTTTTTTTTAAGATTTATTTATTTATTTATACAAGCACTGGGTACAGTCAGAAGCATGGGAGGGTGAGAGAATTCACCAGAGCCAGAGCGGAGAGCAGAACAGGCAGACTGACAAAGTACACTGCTGAGGGGAGCAGCCTCTCTTGGATTCCAACACCACTCTGAACTCCTGGGGAACTGCAAGGGTTGGGGGAGCATGAGAATACACCTCACAGAGCCTTCATTATGGAAACATCATTGATCAAGGCACTAGTTGCTGTGTTCTGAAATTCATCACTTCATTTGCCCCAGTGCCGCTCCTACAGGCTGCTCTCCACCAAGGGCTGCAAGTGGCAGGGAGAGAGAGTCAGCTCCACAGAGGAGATGTGGGATGGCTGACTGGATGGCCTTTTGCCTGAAACCTCTTCAACAACTTTGTGTAGGCGTCTCTCAGACACATGGCAGTCTGGCATGTCTGACTCTCTTCTTCCCTCACTGACAGCTCTCCGGGCCTTCTCATTTCCATCCCCATTTTCTTTCTTAAGTACTTTCCCTAATAAAATTCTTCCACATTTAATGCTGTCTTAGCATCTGCTTCTTGGATGACTCAGACTAGTGCAAATACACTGGAGGAGAACACCAATGGCAAAGACTTTGAACCTTTTATTCATGACCCCAGCATAGTATCAATGGTGAAAATCCTCCATGTAGCTGTGCAGGTCACAGCTCGTAAACCAAGGAAGTCAGAACAGAGGAGAAAGAATAAGGAGGCATCTTTTAAAGAACTCTCTGAAACCTCTATGCTTGATATATCTTCTATTTCATCTTCTGAATAAATTCTACCCTTCTCCACTCTGCTCTGTGACCTGGAAGGGTTATCTGTGTGAACTTCACCATTGACCTCTGGTTGGTTTCAAAAATGGAAGGAACTCAGGTGCAGAGGGGCAAGCAGTGATAAGGGTATTCTGGCCCTCAATACCACCCCTACTAATCTCAGGTTCTGACAAGGGACCCTTTATACAGAGCATGCTCTTTTGCTCTCTCTGTGGGTTCTGATAATTCTTTTTTTTTTCCTTCAGGTCAATGGTCAATAGCTGCTGTTGTTGCCAACTTGCATATACTCCATCATCCTTATTTTCTGTCCTTAACCTTGACATACCTCTTAGAAATAGTCCCTTTATTAATTTTTCAGCCTAAATGTGCCATCTGTTTCCTACTGGGACCCTAACTTACACCTACTTACACCTAAGATCTAAGAGAGAACTAAGTTCCCACATAGACAAATGTAGAGTTCCAAGGCATCAAAATCTGGCAGTGCTGGCAATGTGACCTCATGAGCCTACAGAGGCTGAGTTATATGATTGAGCTTTAAAGTTCACTCCCAAACTGGACACTATATTTCTTAATTTAAAAAATTATTTCTCTCAGGGCTTCCCTGGTGGCTTAGGGGTTAAGTCTCAGCGATATCACAACTGTGGCCTGAGTTCTTTGCCCGGCCAGGGAGCTGGCCCATATATGGCACAGCAGACCTCTCCTGTCTCACCCCTTGCTCCCCTCAGCAGTGTATTTTAGTATATCTGCCTGCCCTGCTTCCTGCTCTGTCTCTGGTGAATCCTCTCAAGCCCCCCCCCCACACCTCACGCCTACACCCCAGATCTTATATGCAAAAACAAAAATATATCTAAAAAAATTTTTAAATAAATAAATATCTCTATGCCTCTGTACTCCCAAATCATCGTGGACTGTACCTTATGGACAGCAAGTAAATGGCAAAAATGGATAGGAATGCTTCGTGAATCTACCTGATATTTTTCCCATACTCTGGACCACTCCAGAGACACAAGACACAAGACCCAAAACTAGGCATTCTATGAAAACTAAGAATGTACGATGTGGTTTTTCTTTTTTTCCCTGCATTCTCTTCATCAATCTTGTTTTACTATATCCTTTTCTACTTATAGGCATCTTTGTGATAGAAGCCAGACCCAGAACAGGACAGTAAAGTAACCCTTCTGTCTAAATAAGAATTATATCAGGCAGGGCCTCCCTTGTGGTG